TCTTCTGTGGATTTGTATAAATTAAACAACTTATACTGTCAAATTAGCAATGAAGAAAATAATTGCACGGGAGGGCTCGTTGACTTTGAGCATTTCAGCTTGTTCTTACTGGCTCAAAGTAAGATTTATCTGATGGGGCAAGATGCTTGCTTGGAGTTGAGAACCCATGGATTAAGAAAACACCAAGCATGGGAGAAATGCAAAGAACTGTCCACTTCTCATGCAGAAGGTACAAAGTAGAAAATCAATCATAGAAAATAAAACTGTGTCTTGAGTGAAGCATGACCTCATAGGATCATACGCTCAGCTTCAGGAAACGACGTGTGTGTGTGTGTGTGTGTGTGTGTGTGTGTGTCTGTGTGTGTCTGTGTGTGTGTGTGTATCTGTGTGTGTGTGTCTCTGTGTGTGTGTGTGTATGTGTCTGTGCATGTGTGTGTGTCTGTGTGTGTGTGTGTGTATGTGTGTGTGTGTCTGTGTATGTGTGTCTGTGTCTGTGTGTGTGTATGTGTGTGTGTATGTGTGTGTATGTGTGTGTGTATGTGTGTGTGTATGTGTGTGTGTGTCTGTGTGTGTGTATGTGTGTGTGTCTGTGTGTGTGTATGTGTCTGTGTGTGTGTGTCTGTGTGTGTGTCTCTGTGTGTGTGTGTGTGTGTGTCTGTCTGTGTCTGTGTGTGTGTGTCTGTGTGTCTCTGTGTGTGTGTCTGTCTGTCTGTGTGTGTGTGTGTGTGTGTGTGTGTGTGTACCTTGCTCCTTCTTGCAGGACGGTTGGGAAGACCACCCTTCAGGAAGACACTGGACCACTTCCTCATCCTTTCCTCCAGTGGTTTTGTATCCTGAAGTGCAACCATAACGCATGCTCTCTTGAACTTTGTACAGTACTTTCCCATCAGAGACATAGCCATTCCTTAGGTTGGGATTCAGGCATTTTTCTGTGTTTTAAAAGCAAATGTGCTTTTAGTTTCTTCAGGAAACTACAACGTTAATCCGCTTAATAGTAAGATTTAGATTACCAAACTGAAAAAAATGATACAAACACGTAATGTTACTTAGTTGGAACTTCGAGCACTAAAATAATTTTCACTCCAGAGTTCTTTGATACAGTTCAATTTGGGAAATGTCTGACAAGTCCTGTATAACATTCCTTTGGAAGTGCATTCACTTTGACATTAACTGATATTTCTTTTTTATTTACAAATTTTGATTTGGGAACTGGGATCGACATGTAAAATAATAAATTAAATTAAAAAAATGCTTTGATTCCAAAATTTAAGTTCAAGGACAAGTTACTGGGGAAAAGGATTTCTATTTTTGTTTCCACAGAAAATGAAAAGATGTGGATTCCTTCCAGACTAATGTGGTTTGATCAAGCCAGACCGCCTGAAACAGAGTACCAGGTGATCCTACATTCAAAACAGCTGGACAAAGCAGCCTTACAGACTACAGCCAGGATTTCTGCATCTTCTTAGAATCCCCGATGACAGTGCCCCTTACCAGCAGGAAGTAGTTTAGAAAGAATGACGCCTAAATTCCCAAATATTGTCTATAAATGTTTGTTTTCATTTAAATGGACTTGGTTATATAAAATAAATAAATAAAAACAAATTTTGATTTTCATAGCCACCCTTACCGCATCTTCTTTTGGAAAATACACCAATAGTTTTTCGCTATTTGTCATTAATCACAAGTAAAAATAATTTATCCTTAATATACTTGAAGTTTTAATCCAGTGTTTTATAATGTAATGAAAAACATACTTAATGGATGATTAAATGTTTCTAAAGTATAAATCCTTTATTCATTCATTCCTTTAGAAAATATTTTGGGATCATTTCACTGCACAGGGTCCAGGAGTCAGTGTATACCAAGTCATACATGTGATCCCAAAAACCTTTGAGTCTACAATCGTGTTTTTGGTACAATGTAAGCTACAATATAATAAAAATTACCTTCACATTAAAGTCCCTATCACTTTTTTCTTAGCCATCATTGGACCTTTATGACAAAGCAATCTAGAAGAGTTAAAAGACTTGTCCAAGGTTACTATTAACATAAACACATTTAGTACCAGCTGTGTGTGTGGCAAACACTCTACATGAGAGCTTGTACTGAAGCAATATTAACTCCACTTTTGCATAAGAAGCAGGCTAAGGATTTTCAAGTCACTTTCATAGGGATAGTGCTGGAGTCACACGCAGTCAGTTGACTGCTGAGATCATATTTTGACCATCACGCTCCCAGGCCAATCTCTGCAATGTTCTATCTCTTTAGAGAGCAAACTCAAGGCATGTGACTTCTTTCTACGACACCACGATGAGATTTATATTATAAACTCTGTGTTCTATGTTAGTAGGAAAACTGTCACATTAAATTCAGGTCTGTTCTGAAGTCACAGAAGGAATGAATGTCCTGTGCAGTTCTGTTTGCTTGGTATGTCAGCCATGGCTTCCACCATACCGAATTCCTCCCCTGCATGGAAAGGACCGAGTGGAAGTCCTTCACTATGGGAAACAGAGATGCAAGGTACTCCCGAGTTAAGGTTTCTTACCTAAGTACAGGGGAGCCACGGAGCAGTGCTGAGAGCCCATTGTGACACTACTCACAAGTCTGAAGTCCGTATGCAAAAAAAAACCCAAAAAACAAAAAACAAAAAAATAAAAATCCTGCAGCTTTCAACGGACTGGAGAAAGAAAATCGGGCATGCAGATGCGTGAGAAATACAGAGGTACTAAAATAGCTCGTCCCTTATGAAACCAGACTTTACATCTTATTCTGCCTTCCTGTTAAAGATTATGGGCACGATTAAGTTCCTCCTTACTTGAAGTAGCCCAGATGTACCTATCATTCACAGCCTGAAAAAATAACATTTTTGGGTGCTTCTTCACAAGTACCATTAAGAAGGGTTGAAATGGCTTAGCGATATAAAAGCATCCTTTGCAGGATTTCATACATGGTGCTTTATAGTGGCAATTTTGTTATTATCTGTGCAGAGTTTAACCACCGTTCACATAGTTTGTAAGCATTGCCCTGAGAGCATGCATTGACTCACTGAAGCACTTTGGCTCTGGAGACCAGCCTTCTTCTGTACACCTGATTTGCTCTTCTTGCTTCCCACTTTCGCTTGCGTAGCCAGCCAAGCAGAAGAATGATAGCTTTTTGTTTATGCTCATTGGAAAGTAAAAGCTTTTAAATGTATAATAATATTGGGCGATCATTCCATTTTCCACCATAGGAAAAGCACACTGTTTCTCTGAAATGAGGAAAACTTAAGCTGAAAAATGGAAAAATGTGTAAACCCATGAAGCTTGTGATCAAACACCACTCCTAAATACTTTTTCTTTCTTTTTTTTTTTGCAGATTCTTCAGTTTCCACTTATTTCCATAACCTAAGTTTAGAAGCGATATTGCAACAGTCTAAATGTCATGCCCTCCCCTTTTATCTGCTGACAATTCTGAATAGCTGTGTTACTGAGAATAACCAACAAGCAAGCCATTTCTTCCTGGAAATCTGTTGTAGCTCTGAAGAACACAGTCGTAGACACATCGTGACATCCATCACACATGCAATTTTAACATTTCTAGAACTCACAGTGGTAAAGGTAACACTAAAAAAAACAAAAGCTTGGTTTGTTCCAGTGATAGGCTTTATTTAATCTAATGTATTGAAATATTTTGCATTATTAGTTCTTACCCTTTCAACCCAGCAGGTATGCCATTCACAAACAGCCCTGCTTGGACCCACTATGTTTCTGTGCTCAATAGCCACAGAGTTGACACCACCCTGTAGATGCCCGGACCTATGTATGCTCCAATGACTGAAAATTTGCATATACCCTACATACCTCCACCCAAATCAAACGCTTTGATTGTCCAAGTCACAGAACTATTAAAAAAAACACTGTACCAGTTTTGTCCAAAGAAACATTACCAAAATGTTAAAAACAAGTTACATTTATTTAAAACATGTATTACAAAATTGGCATATTGAAACACAATATAGGGTAAAATTCAAGTAATATGACTGTTAGATTCTCTGTTTTCCATGTACACTTTCGAGAATAAGGAACACTAAAAGAATTAACTTTACCTTCTGCATAGAGCTCTCCTGAGATGAATACTATAAAAATAAGTAGCAAGTATCCCAACCTCATCTTCAGCCGCATGTCTCATGAAGATTTTTACAACCCCAGAGCACCTGAGATCACATCACTGAGTACACATCACTTCTGACAAAGCAAGTTAATAATTACATTGTCTAAGTACCTTTGGGGCAAGCTAACATTTCACTTAACGCATTCCCCAACGATTTAAAATAATGTACTGGTGTTCGCTGACAATATGTCTCATCCTGAGTTCAGTAAGGACACACCAAGCCAGCAGAGGCAACAATGATAGTAGTGTAAGCACACAGTCTGGATAAAGAAGGGTACGTTTTTAACTCAGACTTCCTCAAATGTGTGTTCCTCGTTCAAAGTCCACCTGCCCAATGCTGTTTACCAGCTTTGACAGAGCAAAGATGAGCTTGGAGTCATAATGGAGACCTGATGCAGAAATGCGCTGTCTAGACTGCAGTCCCCAAAGACATAAGTGATCTTGTCTCCGATTATGACAGGACGTTATCGAGAACAGTGTGGTACACAGCACGCAGAATGTTTGAGCTCTGGGAAGTGGCAGATGAATTACAGTATCACCCACCTATGAGAAAGATTTGAAAGGCCACTATGGACAAGTCATATCATCCCTATCTGATTACTTCACACTAGGCTCAGCATCTGAAAACTAATGCGTTGCAGAATTAAGGGTCCTACATATATGCATGCATTAATAATTAGTGAAAAGAGGCCATGAGCTTGAAGGAGAGCAGGGACTGGCATATGGAAGGGTTTGGAAAAAGAAAATAGTAGGGAAAAAATGTAATTAAGTTATAATCTCAATGAGTAAAAAAAAAACAGTAAATGAGACAAATTTTATAAACACCTCAGTAACTTGAAATATATATTTTTATTTTATACAAAGTCATCTTCAAAAGTTTAAAATTAAAAACTGCTCCAAGTAACCATGATTGGCATAATTATTTACAGTCCTACACTGAAATGTTTCCATTTACTGATAAGGAATGCCAAGAGTATCCATCAGCAGTTGAATGGCTTGCAATGAATTTGTGATTTCTTTCATATTATCACGCCTCAAAACCCACTGTGGCTTAAATCTGTTTAAGGAAAAAAAAAAAAAAATGGCATTAGTGAAGTGTTTCTTCTAAAATGAGTCACCTCTAAAACGTGAGAGAGCTTCCCATCATAGCTCATTAGTACCTATATATCATTTCTAAAAATCGATGCTGGCTTCTATGCAGCTTACGCTATTTATCTCCATCAGTACCTCTTCTGTTCGTTACCAAACTCTCACGGTGATATCTTGCTGAAACTGGCTTAGTTCTCAGTTCTTGCCACCATTCTTAGTAACATCAGCATCCATAGTAACATCACCATAATCAAAAACCATTCAACCGTTGTCTCTCGTAGGCACAAACTAGGTGTTGTCTTCATAGAAACTGCATGGCCAACGTAGATTTCCATTCTGCAAACCCCACGTCTAATTCCCATCATGCCACCTGCTCTACTGAATCCTTTAAACCAAACGTTCTACCTCAACATCTTCAATTCATTCAACCTGAAGCATGCACTAGTTAATAAGGACATTGTGCCTGCTCTCTTTCTTAATTAGCATAGGTATGTCAATAATCTACTTTGAAAATGCTATCAACTTCATTTCTTCCAGTTTAACATCCATCTGAAAAATTCAACCATGTTCCATAACTGCACACAAATGTTGCTTTTCCATTGCTAAACAGGTGGATACTGGTAACGAAAAACTACAGAATCTGGCTTGCATCTTGGGTCATCTCCATGTTTTAAAGGGTCATCTGAAATTTCCTAGCATGCTTCTGCTTTCTCTTCACAAAGATCAACTATGTTATTCCTTGAGCCCTCCCAGTTTGAGCACTTGTGAGTTTGAGTTTATAATCACACGTGACAGTGACTGAGAAAATGGGGGAGAAGGGGCCAAATATCCTCTTGACGAAATCCTTCCTATGTGCATTCCTATCTTATTGTCCTTTTCTGTTTAATAATTAAAGGAGAACCTGGACACAAATAAGAATATCAAGTGTCCAACACACAGACAACAAAACAGTCTTGGCGATAAAAGGGACATGACTCTAACCCGGGGTCACCTCCATCTGGTGTTAATGCTAACAAGAGATCCTGAAACTAATGATACTCAATTCCTATGACCACCTTGGCTCTCCTGTTCAGCCACAGAGCTGGTTTTCTAACGGCTGACTAACATTTCACTTCTGCCAATGGTTCTCAAGCTTGCTCAAAACAAATCCCATGATCTGAATGCCTGCCATCGGTCATAACTTCTCCAACGTTTTCTTTAGTTTTTTTAATTTTTTTTTTTATTTTTGAGGAACTCAATGTGATAATTGCTTTACCCACCAAGCTTCAGGCAATACATTACAGGTTTCCACAAAACCTAATACTAAGCCTTACAGAGACCTTATCTAGAAGGAGAAACTTAGAAAGTTGGGGTAATTATGGGAAGAGTGGATGTTGACATTCTGGACAAGAGGGACTTCTGACAGCTGACACATAATGATTTCCACTTTACTATAGAAAACAAGTAACAAAATTATAACCAGCTTCCAAGCAAGCTTTTTAAACCACTTAACACGGGGTACTTTAAGTAACTGGGCAGTGCCAGTGCCAAGGCCATAGCAATGATGACTTATTATTATGTACTTAGATGTCCTGCTCATTCAGTGCCCTCCTCCTGCTCCAAATGTAAAACATTTACTAAATGAACCCATGGGACATGGACGTGCAGACCGCACTGAACCGCTTACCTTGAAACTACTCTGGTCTTCACAGATCTCTCCGGTGGAAAAGGAAAGCCCACGCAGGAGTTCTTCTTCTGCTTATCAAATAACACTTCCATATTCACTTTGTGCTTAGGAAATGTAAGTTTATAGAGGCGATAAATACGATCAATAACTTTTGATCTACTTTGTACATCCTAAAAAAAAAAAAAAGAGAGAGAGAGAGAAAATTACTCTTGTTAAAAACTGGTAAGAGGGAGCTGGGGAAATGGATAGGTGGTTAAAAACACAGGCTGCTCTTCAAGAGGACCTGGGTTCAAGTCCCAGCACCCACATGGCAGCTCACAAGTGTCTGTAATTTCAGTTCCAGGGGATCTGGCATGCTCACACAGACATACATTTAAGCAAAGCACCAATGCATATTAAAGGCTCATGCCTTTAATCCCAGCACTCAGGATGCAGAGGCAGGTTGATCTCTGTGAGCTTGAGACCAGCCTGGTCCATAGGAGCTAATTCCAGGACGGTCTCCAAAGCCATAGACAAACCTTGTCTCCAAAAAACAAACAAACAAAAAACTAGTAAGAATTAAATTTCTCTCCGTAGGAAATCATGAATGATCAATACTATGCTTTCTGTTTTTAAGAATCAGGAGTAATGCTCTCTAACTTCAGCAGGTAGATTGATTTAAATTATTAACTAACTTGCAAGTTAGTTGTTAGGAAGACATACACTAAAAATTTGGTTACACTTTCTGGAATCCAGAAAGGAAAGACTTTGGTCAATCTACCCATCACGATTAGACACCAGGTCCTGTAGATGTTTCCAAAGAGAACCTCTTCCTGTCACTGACATGATTCCAGATGATGCTGGCAGATCTGCACTTGCCTCTTTCCTAACATCTCCCTTATTCACACATGTGCTCTCCCAAATGCTTTCTCTGTCAGCAGCCAGAGTGGCATAGGCGACGGACACAAAACTGTCCACAGTCAGTTCTAACCCAGCCAGAGCTGCATGGTCAGAGTCTGTCTCAAAATAAAAGGAAAAAAACAAAAAACAAAAAAAAACAAAACACACCTCGAACTGAAAATACTCTCTGGCAAAAATTCTTAAACTGGTTTCCAATCTACTCAGAAAAAAAAAAAAAAAAAAAAAAAAAAAAAAAAGCTATGGTTACTCTGTGCAACAGCTGTGCCAATAGGCTGGTGGTCTCGGCGCTAAAATGCCTGACATTTAAACATGGTAACAGCAGCAGGACAGGGTTAGGACAGTTACACAGACCTGGCACCACCCTAGCATGCTGGGATGTGTTTTTCTTCCCGGTGAATTGCCAGCAGGGTGCAGTAAATTCTACTTGCAGAGCTTAGCTCCCCCTACCCCTTTATTTAGATTGAGCTTCGGGGCAATGTGCAGTGTACTAAGTATGTGCTCTATGAATGAAACGGTTTCCCCCCCCCCCCCAGCCTCCGGGGCAGGTTCTTTATGATTAGAGAGAAACCCGTAGCGAATTCACTTTCATCATCAGGTTTGGACGCAAACAAGCTCTGCGCTAGTGTGGTAACTGAAGGAAGCACATACAAGTCAAAGGCATCAAGAGCCCAGGGCTTAGCACCACTCACGGGAGCCCAGTGCTCCGCCTTCAACAGCACAGACAGCAAGCAGCAAGTCCGCGTGAAAATGAGGGCACTCTTCTCGGCAAGCCTGTCGCCAGGCTTCTCTCGGTACACTTGCAAAAGCTCCAGCAGCGTCTCCACGCAATTCTCGGCATCACGCACTGCTGAGGTTGTCTTCTCGTACTTGAATAGAGCAGAATGCAATTAAAGCTTACAGTGAGCACATGCCTTTAAACAGTCTAACCGTGGAATAAAAGGCTAGAGCCGAACCTCTGCAGCTTCTGCGGCGAGTGAAAGGTTCAGTGACGGCGTTTTGTTATTCCCGATCCTGCATTTTACATACATTCCCGTCTTAATCATTTTACCACACCCGTTTTTTTTTTTTTTTTTTTTTTTTTTTTAACACTTTTAAAGTGAACTGGAGTCTGAATCAAGAGTGAGGGACAGAGAGAATATCCTGAAGGAGGTAGGTGGAAGGAAGCTTTTAGTAAAGTCTCACAAGGTGACTTTTCTGTGATTACTGTAGTAGAGCAGTGAAGAGAAGACACAGTTAGGTACCAGATCCCTGCCATCTTGAGAAGATGAAACTGCTGTTAAGATAACTACCTCTGTGCTCATCTTACAGGTGGAAAGCATGAAGCGCAGACGCTCTACAAAGGCTGCAACAACACAGATTGAGTCCAGCCTTTGGCACAGAGCTCTCACCCACCACCTCTCCTCGGCACAGAAGGGTGGCTCAGGTGGGTCAGGAGGAACTCTTTCCTCTGAATGCCCAGGCTCTGTGTAACTGCGGTTAAGTCCTAATGCCACATCTCCTCTGTAAAATGGGACAGGAACTACCTCAGAGAGCTACACAAAAGTAAACAACTCATAAAACACTAACATGTAGACAGTGAGTGGTAAACATGAGATGTCACGAGCAAAATAAATTAAATCATGTAACAAGTGGCATTCCCATATACAGCTATGCTAATATATTAAACTTGTTTTTGTTTTTTTTTTGAAACTCCCAGAAAGACTCTTGAACATAAATGAATTATTTAAAGACAGAAGCCTGATCTAATAATGAGCGAGCAAACAAAAAGTTCAGTTTGCAGGGTTAAAATGGAAAGCTACCTTTGCTAAGTTCAGCAGTACTTGAACAGCATATCCAACAGCTTCCATACAAGGGACGCTTCGGTTACAACTTCGGATCACGGCAAAGATTGTAGAAATGGCTCTACTTTCAGCCATGTTCTCGCAGCAAAGCGGAGACAATCTGGTAACGACCTCTGGGAGAGAAAACACACCAATGAACAAGGAAATTCACAGCAGCAAATCCAGACTTCAGGAAACACTGTAGGATTCTCCATCCATGGGAGAATGTGTTCCCACTCGTAACCGGGCACTAATGCAGGACACTGACCCAGGTGCTTCAGGGCGTCCAGAATGGCGGACAAGTGCTTGTAGGTCAGCAGGTGATGGAGTGCACGCTCCGTCCGTCTGTACAGCCTGTTCTCCTCCTCAACGCTCCTGTTGATGGCCCTAAGGCTCAGTCGGATAGCTTTAATTTCTGTACCATCGTTTTTCTTCCTCCAAGAATAGCCTCTCCACCATGCCTTAACAAACAGGTGCAAGAGAGTCATTTAAAAAACATGACAGCCAGTAGTGTTTTGAACCTATATTTGAACCGAGGCTGAGACTCAGATTATAATCTTGGGCTAAGACCAGACTTGAACTCACCTGAATTTTAATGACACTGCTATTGATTTTTTCCTGTCTTCTGCACAGGAGAAAGTGGTGCACTGCCTTCTGTATCACGGAGGCAGCCCTATTCTGCCGGCGTTGACATGCTTGAACTTCACGGTCCGTTTTTATGACCCGATGATACTGTTCAATACACCTCTTTTGTTGTAATCTTCTTCGAAACCATCTCTATTCAAAACATGGTTTTGCACTTTTATTTCACAGTACGTGTGAATAAAATACACACACACAAGGCCTATGAACATGTCTATGCACATATGTTCACATATGTATGCAGATATATATGCAAAAAAAAATGAATACCACTTTGTGGTATTGTTTCCCCACCCCACTTGGAGCAAGTCCTTCCAGCTCTTGTTGGGCATATGTATGAATCCTACCAAACTCTGACGCATGTTTTCTATCCCAGTATTTTATATATAAATGTAATCAATATTTGCAAAATGGAAAATTTCCCCTATAAATTACAACATGGCTTTCAAATACAAAAATGGGCTAAGTGTGTTAAAATATTTTAAATAGTAGACAATACTCAGGTAAGAACTTAAATGGCCAATAAACGTGGAAGAAAACTAGACATGGCAGTAAACAAGTAAACCCTAAACAAAAATGTGATTCAATCTATCCCGATTCAATCAGAATGTCTGTGGAGGCCACTGCCGGACAAGGACGTAGAGAAACCAGTATCTACAGAGTGGGGGTGGGAGAGAAGAGTTTCATTGGTGGGTGATCACTCATCATATCTCTGGCTCACAAGACAGTGACCAGTCTCTCATCCTTAACTCACCCCGTGAGCCGTCACCTGGCAATCCAAATGCTCTGTGACCTTACCTACGTGCACTGAATAAGAGAGGGCAGAGGACTAGCTAACCTGAATAGCGATGACTGAATCAATGTGCTCCCGAGCCCTCCTCACTGTCACGTGGATTCTGTACGCTCGCTGGATTCTAAGAGCACACATGTGACAGTATGCAGCTGCCGTAAAGTGGAGAAGTCGGATTCTGGCTTTCTGTTCTGAAACCTGAAGTACAGAGAGAGAAAAAAATTCAATAGAAAAACAGGCAAAACACATTTAAATACTTTAAAGCAGAAAGAAGTAGTTTGACTAAGCATATAAAATTACATACACAAAATGTAGCAACTGTAGTTAATTCATAGTCATTTTCACTTTAATTCAAAGTAATTATAATCCTCTACTATACAATAGTTCTAATATAACATATAACAAGATACAAAAGCAGAATTTGGGGGCTTTACTAAAAAATTACCCAGCTTTTTAAAGCCAGATCTCAAGGAGAAGTGCGTATAAGGTTTGTAAAGATTACAGCATTCCAAGCAGAGATGTCAAGACAGAGACAGGGAAGCTGGCACATTTCATTTCTCCAGCATCAGAGAACACAGCACCAGAAGAGGGAGGCTCTCGTGGTAAAAGCTTTCTGCCGCGAGACCTTGGACTTGAGATTTCTAATTAGATTTGATGAATGCAAGATCTCTCCCTTTAAACTTCAAATCGAATTACTTGTTTCCTATGCAGGAGTTCACATATCCTTAGCCTTCCTTCAAGAAAAGAATCCTTCTTAGTGAAGATGTGGCCATTGCAGGGTTGGTTCTTAGAGATGCTGGACAGTAACCAAAGGCCACTCACGTGAAAATTAGCCTCCTCCACACACAAAGCTCACGCACTGCTGGCAGCTCTTGTTAAGTGTTAGTGCATTAAAAATTTTTTAAAAAAATCCATCTCATACCTCTGGGGTGACCATTCCTGGGAAGAAACAGGATCACAAAATGACAACAAATCACCGTTAGATGGCTGTGTGAGCTGATTTGAGTTAATGACTCCATTAATTTTCACAGTGGTCTCCAAAATCCAAACTTTATCACCACTTCACATCAAATAATTTTACTCTAAAACACTTACTCCTTTCCTTACTAACCAGCCACACGCCAGTGCTTGTAAAGTGAGTGTAGACTTTTTAAAATTGATCTATTTTTACCTTCTCACACTTCGCAGCCACCCTGGTTTGCATGTCTCTGTATGATCAAGACAACGGATCTCTGCTGTAGAAAAGACTGTGTTCCCTTATAACCTCTAACCTGGGCCTGTAACGAGCAGGCAGACCGAGGTCTTCATGAGGGAAAAGGCCCAAGTAACATTAAGAGGTAGGAATGCGATTTCAAACTGTTAGAAGTTCTCGAGTTTTGCTTTCACAGTCTGAGACTGAATGCCCCATTTCATGGACATGGGAAGCTGATAAAAAAAAACATTACTTCTAGAACCATACATACAGATAGATCTATAGCACAAACTAGGGACGCACAAGCTAGGGTCAATAGCTATCAGATGCCCCTCCCCTTTCCACTCTGTGTTAGTGAGGGTAAGAATGAAAATAGCATCACTAAAGGACAGGCAGGCTGGGTAAAAGCACAGAGGTCACGGGCCATTCACCACAGGAAGAGTGAGGAGATGGCGGGTGCACTGGTCCATTCATCACAGGAAGAGTGAGGAGATGGCGGGTGCACTGGGCCATTCACCACAGGAAGAGTGAGGAGATGGCGGGTGCACTGGTCCATTCACCACAGGAAGAGTGAGGAGATGGCGGGTGCACTGGGCCATTCATCACAGGAAGAGTGAGGAGATGGCGGGTGCACTGGGCCATTCACCACAGGAAGAGTGAGGAGATGGCGGGTGCACTGGTCCATTCACCACAGGAAGAGTGGGGAGATGGCGGGTGCACTGGGCCATTCATCACAGGAAGAGTGAGGAGATGGCGCACTGGTTAAGGGCACCCGCTGCTCTTACAGAGCAGGTTCAAATCCCGGCACTGACAATGGTGGCTTACATCCTTCTGCAACTCCAGTTTCAAGGGATCTAGCATGTCCCTGTGACCTATCCGGCTCCTGCAGGCATGTGGTACACACATATATACTAGGCGCGCACACACACACAGACACACACACACACAGAAATTAAATAAATATTAAAGGAAGGACTACACAGCATGCCGAGCGCCTTCCTTGGACTGCTCAGTCATATAACATCTCCAGAAACAAGTTTAGGCAATTGAAAGTGTATGGTCAGAATCCATTTATGCTAAGTTGGCTTTACAAATTACCATTACCCACAAACCAGTGCCAGGCAAGTTAGTACTCTAAATAATTTCTAGAATTTAACATGATCATAGCAACAGCAACTACCACATAAGTTCATTATCCAGCGTCTGCCTGGCATATATGAAGTGCCAGTAGTCAGAGTAAAAATAATCGTGGGTATGTAGCTAGAGTGAATATATGAACATAAATCATGTATGCAAAATTTAATTTTGATACATAGAGTTTTTTAAAAGCTATATTTAGTAACAGGTCATGGTCACGGCAGTAACTCTAAAACGGTAAAATACTTTAAACAGAGCAACTACAGTTTAGAAAGCAAGTTATGAGGTATTTGACTTCTACTATACAAAACATATCTCTGCTTTCTCGAAGCATACTTTATTTTCACTGTAATCATGAAAATTTCAATTCCGAGACCATATTACTTAATACACACACACTCACCATACTTGCAAAATCATATTGTTATGAGTCAACGTAATTTTAAATGGACTATAAAACAGATGTGTGTAAAACAAACGCACCGTTCAACCTTTAACGTTCTTTCTGTTTTATTTCCTGACATGGGTCTGTGCAAATGAGTTGACTTTTACTCATACTTACTTTTAAAATCGCCTTCTCACGAGCTACTCTTGCAAGGAGTGTGGATCTCCATTTCCTCTGAATTACAATTGCCGATGCTCTCATCTTCAAGAACCTGAAAAGTAGATTAGAAAGTAGAAGTCAGTTTAATCTGGGCAGTGTTGCCCCCACAACACTGAGGAAGAAGGAACAAGTAAGAAAGGCAATGACGTAACACGCAGACACGGACTTCGTACCTTAGCTCCAAGGGTTGGATTTTCACACATATACAATGAGAACCAGTTTTGCAATTAACAGTCTCCTATTGTACAAAATATGAACTCTGAAATCCAATAGGACAAAGAATTCTGTACATTTCTCAAGCCTTATTAGGAATTAGAAGAGTTACTGGAAAAAGAAGCAGTGGCTGAAATAAAATCAAAGGCAAAAGGGACATGACTGGAGAAGAAAGATCGATCGGTTCTGGGACACGACCTTGAAACTGAATAAAAGGAAAATGACGAGCCGTTCTTAACATCAGGATTCTTAGGAAGTGAGGCTGAGAACCAGGGAGGAAAGCTCACCACTTTTGGTGCAGAAAACACAAGCATATACCTTAATACTGACAGTAAACATCACCTACGAAGTAACCCACTTCCCCAGTAGTGCTGGACAAGGAGATGCCCAGGCTCTGGAGGTCCCTTTAGTGAATTCTAAGCAACTACTGATGTGTGGTTCATCAGTTCTGGGTAAAGGAAAATCCTACACTATGGCATCAGAAAAAAATAGAGATACCTAGTAAAATTTTCTGAACATTTTGACATTAAGTAGTAATAGAAACATAAACACTGGAAGGACAGGCTGATAACAGGCTATTTCACCATTAAGAAGGAAAATAATACACCACATAATAGAAACAAAACCCAGACTGCTCAATCAGTAAAGTGTCTGCTGTGCAAGCATTAAGGACCTGAATTCAGATCCTGGGCACCCATGTAAAGCCCGACATAGCTGTGCATGCCTGTAACCTAGCACCGAGGTGTGGAGACAGATATATCCAGATCTTACTAGGGTCCTGTTGTAGCTAACTTAAGAGTTTGGTGGAAAGCCCTATATCAAAAGAACAAGTGGACAGTGATAACTCATCTCCCCCTGTCACCCACACATCATACACACACACACACACAGTACTTGCCAGTGGCTAAATCAACAAAGAACGTAGAAATAAATACTGGACCATTTCACTCACTTTCTAATCACATAAATACTTTTTACTAAATTTATATTATCCAAGTTATACTTTACATGGAAACTAAGCTCAAAAGATGTATTTTGTGTGAAAACACACATTTTTAAAACTATGTAAATTGAACATAGCAATCATTAAAAGAAAATAAGCAGTGTTACTTTACCTAGGATCCTACACACTTCCAAGAGTTATAATACATTACCTCATTCTCTCCATCTTGGCACAGAAGTATCCTTGAATAACTTTAGCAGCTTTTACTAAAGCTAGATATCTCTTGCGTGCTCTCCAACACCTATACCAGGCTTGAATCCTGCAGGCAGCTTCCACTTTGGATAAGTATTTCTTAGCTTTACATTTCCTCCATCCAGCCTACATCAAGCATATAAATACAATAAGGATACAGTAATATGGCCTAAGATTACAAACTAGAAAGATCTTATGCAATTGATATTCCATTAATTGAGTATATGAAAACAGTTAATATGCAGTTAATTGGAAAAACATTAATTGTGAAAATCAAGTCGGACTCTGCCTCTTTACTAGACAGACACGCGGTGAGCCTTGCAACGGCAGTGGCTATTATTACAATAGCATTATGTGCTGGACGCATTTTATGGCTGGCTGCCAGACCACCACTTCAGCACAGCCTAATCTGCTGCAGTTTAAAACAGTAAGCTATGCATGATCTGTGGAAAATCAGACAGACACTCACTGTCCTCGGCAGACCCTGAAGGACAGAGATGAGATAAACTCCGCTTTCTGGAGAAAGCGAGAAAGAGAGCAATAGCTCCCTCCCCAAGTTCGTTCATCCTTGGTTATGCAGTCTGCCCGCAGCAGAACTTTGAAAGTCAAATACCTCCCCAAGCCTCTACTTGTGTAAAATACGGCTGGGTTGCCTTCCCAAGAGATTAGTTTGGCTTTCCTCTCATGCAGCTGATGCGATCCTTAACTACAACTAAAACACCCAGTGATTCACGGCATCTGGGATTTGAGCTCACTTCCTGTTCCCCCCCCACACACACACACACCCCAGTCCTGGGCTTGTAGATACCAATGTTCTCGGTTTCTCCTTTCTTTCTTAGGATCGTGGAGACTGTGCTCAATACTCTTGAGCTCTTGTGTTCTCCAGATCCAAGCCTCTTCTTCCTAGACACCCTTCCACAGGTCCAACTGCCAGTATGTTTTAAAAGACGTGCACATCAAACTAAAAACCCCACTGCTCTTCTGACCTCCAGACACAGTGACATCCTGCTGGGACACCTGGGACACGCTACAGTCTCACACCCTTGCATCTCATCCCTGTGGCCATGAAGGGAGTATCTGCTGAATTGCTACCGATTTATTTCCTTTCAAAACTGACCTATAATAATAATAATGCTGTACCGCCACGAAAACATACACGTATTTCTTTGCTCAATAAGCGGCTTTAGCGCGTGCATTCGGCAGTGACTCTAGCGTGAAGGCCAGGTGCTTCTGGGGCACCGTACTCACCCGGGAGCCTCTTTCACACTCCGCACGCCTCCTTGCTGTAAAGGCTCTAAAATGCTTCTGTATAATCACGGCAGCCGCGTGCTGCTGCCGAATTTGTTTTGTGGTGTTCAGACCCTGGAAATGCATCTGCGTAACAGTTTCTTCCTTGTGTGCACTGAGCAGGAGAGCTTGCTGTCTCCTTTTATTTGCCCGATACTTTTCTTGTATTGCTTTTGCTGCCCACCGAAGCTGCTGGTAGAAACGGCGCTGCCTATGCATCCTATATCTGCTTTGTATTGTTATGGCAGCAGCACTGTGTTTTTCTTTTGGGAACTGGCTCGCCTTCACTCCTGTCTGTGCACTTTGACTGACCGCAGCAGAATCCCACTGTCCGGTGTGCCCGCTAAGTTTTTCTCTCTGCAGTTTTGCAGCTCTGTATGCTCGATAATGCTGCTGAATTATGATCGAGGCGCGTTTCCAAGTGTGAAACCTGACATATGTTCTGTGCATCCTAAAAGTAGCCTGGATAAGAACTGCAGCCTTGTGCATTTCTTGTAACTTCCTTTTCACCGCCAGTCTCCGATAAGATGACTGTATTGTAATGGCTGCCTTCCGTAACTCCAAGAATTGGCGCAATTCACTCTTGGTGTAAATGGTGGCTCGGTATTTCCTCTGAACAAATATAGCAGCTTTTCTGAGAGTAATGAATCTCCTCCTTACTACTAAAGCTCTAAATTTACTCTGAATAAGGGTTGCAGAAGAATGCATGGTCTTCAACTGACTTCTGGTTTTCATCCCCCTGAAGGCGGCCTGAAGGATCACAGCAGCATGTCTTTGTCTGACGAAAAGCTGCCTCTGCAGTTTTGCGGCTCTGTGTGCTTGGTATCGCTTCTGGATCGCAGCCGAGGCCTGCTTCAGACCCCGGTACCTCACGAAGGCTCGGTGCATTCTGAAGGTGGCCTGGATCACAGTGGCAGCCTTGTGCATCTCCTGCACCCTTTTCCTGGCCGCCCATCCTCTGTATGATGACTGGATTTTAACGACTGCCCTCAACAGAAACTGTTGGCGGTTCCTGGTGTGAAGATTTGCGCGGAACTGTCTCTGGATCCAAACAACAGTCTTCCTGAGGGAGAGGAATTTTCTTCTCGTGAGTAGAGTTCTGTACCTCCTCTGAATGAGAGTGGCGGCTACATGCATAGCTTTCAGGCGTCTCCTAGCTTTTAGTCCCCTAAAGGCAGCCTGAATGAGTATTACGGAGCGTCTCAGTCTACGGTACCTCTGGAACTGAATGCTTCTTTCTCTCTCTGCTCGGAATCTCTGCTGTATGATTCTTGTCGCCTCCTGTAGCCTATGAAAGTACGTTTGCTGTCTGTATCTCCTGAAGTGAGACTGAATGAGTGTGGCTGCCACGTGCATCTTTCTTGCAGCCCGCCGAACCCTCGCTCCTCTGACACCTGCCTGAAGGGTTCTAACGGCCTGCAGAGTTGACAGGTACTTCTTGCGCTCAGTTTTACCTAGACAATATGCTCTGAATCTCCTCTGAATCACAACAGCTGCTCTTCTCATCCCGAGGTACCTTACTCTCGATTGGTGCATCTTAAACATGGCTTTAATAAGTGTGGCCGCCACGTGCATGTGTCGAATGTGCCTTCTCACTCTAACACCTCTATACACAGCTTGGACTTTAACTGCTGCTCCCCTTAAGGTAAGATAGTCCTGACGCTGCTGGGCTGTAATTTTAGTGTTCCGATACCATCTCTGAATCATGACAGCTGAAGCTCTGCAGCTCTTGAATCTCTTCTGGATTCTGTAAGCTCTAAATTTAGACTGTAGGGTGATGGCTGCTTTGCTGCCCTCTTTTATTCGCTTCCTTGCTTCCATACCACGGTAAGCCGCCTGTAAAGTTACTATGGCTGCTTTTGTTTTCAAATATAAATGGCGCTGTTCTTTTCCAGCTTTGTGGGTCCTGTAGAACACCTGAATGCGCACAGCAGCTGCTCTCGTGGCCTTCCACTTCCTCCGCTGAACATGCATTCTGTAATATGACTGTATGAGGGCAGCGCATTCACGCTGCCTCTGCATCTGTCTTCTCAGGGTCCTTCCTTTCCATGTGGCCTGAAGGACCAGGGCTGCGCGACGGAGCTCAAGGTACTCCAAGCGCTGCCTCTTCCCCGCAGTCCATGCCCTGGCACGCTGCTGGATGACTACTGCTGCTGCTCTTAGTAGCTGAAACCGTTTCAGGGCCAGGACCATTCTAAAAGTAGACTGGATCCTCACTGCAGCCTCATGCTCCCTCCGGAGCCGCTGCCGAACCCTCCAGCCACGGTAGGCGGACTGGAGACAAACCACAGCCACTCTTGTCATGAGAAATTGTGTTCGCACATCATGGGCAATCTTGCGTGCCCTGTACCATCTCTGAATCTTCAAAGCAGACTGAAGCAGAGTTTGGAATTTCACCCTCTGACTGTAGCCTCTAAAAACCCTCTGAATTGTAACAGCGGCTGCAGACTGCCACTTGATTACCTGGCGCACTTGGTGGCCTCTGAAAGCTGCCTGCAAACAAATGGCTGCTTCCCTGACCTGCAAGAATTTCTTCCTTTGCCTGACTTGTGCTCTGTGGGCTCGGTAGAAATTCTGAATGGCAAGGGCTGCCTTGCACATCCTCAGGTACCGCTGCCTCATTTTCCTCATTCTGAAGTAAGCCTGTAGGGAAACGGCAGCTTTGCTTCGCAGCCTCATCTGCCTCCGGGCCAGGCATCCTCTAAAATACGCTTGCAGTTTGATACAGGATTCGCGCAGCTGCGTGTATTCCTTTCTCTTTTGCTTGGTCAGCCGCTGGGAGCGGTACCGCTGCTGGATGAAGAGTGCAGCCGCTCTTAAATGTAAATACTGCTTACGTGTCTGCTTCATTCTGACAATGGACTGCAGCTTTATTGTGGCCTCTCTGAAGCTCTGAAATTTCTTCCTGGATACATAAGCCCGATAATACGACTGAATCTTTACAACGGATTTTAAAGTATGACTAAACGTTTTCCTGGCTTGCATTCCTCTAAATGCCGACTGGAGAATGATGACTGAAGACCGTGTTTTCTGGTAAGATTCCAGAGCCTTCCTGGCTGAAACGGAAGCTCGGAAACGAGTCTGAATTACAACAGCTGCTTCCTTCACCCTTCTGTATTTCTGTAATTGTTGATGTTTTCTTATGTGCGCTTGCAACCTGATCACAATCTTTTTAAGGTTTAAAAATCGAACTCTTTCCCGTCTCATTCTCCAATAGGACTGAAGAACACAGGCAGCTCGAACTTGCCTGTGTGAATTGCGAGCCTTCATCCTCCTGAATGCAGCCTGCAGTCGGACGGCGGCGGCTTTTTTCTGAAGATAGTCGGTGCGTGCTAGCTTCCCCTTCCGATATGCCCTGTAGTGCCTCTGGAGAGTCAAGACAGCGTGTTTCCTTCTCTGGTAAAATTTCTGGGCTTGAAAGCGCCGAAATCTTCTCTGGATGGCCACAACACAAGATCTGATATGAATATACCTCTGCACTTGCCTGTGCCTTCTATACCATGACTGTATCACAATAGCAGATCGTTCTCTGGCTTGTTTCCTGAGATGCCACTCTCTAAATGCCCGCTGCAACGTCACTGCAGCCTGAGTTTGTAACTGCAGCTTCCGTCGTTTCCACCTTCTGAACACGCACTGGATTACGAGGGTGGACCGTTTCAGCATCTTAAATCTACATTGATCTTGTTTTCTTCTTACGCACGCACGCCAACGCCTCTGAACAGTAACTGCGGCCCAAAGATAACGCTTGTAAGCCCTAAGAGCGATTTTCATTCTTATCCTGGACTGAAGGATGACTGAGTAGTATTTCAACTTCAGAAACTGTTTTCTGGTGGAGTATCTTCTCCAATAAGCCTGAGAAGGGTAAGAAAGGAAACGAAGTCAAGCAGGCGGAGCTTTCTGAACTGAACACTCAAAAATGCTCATTGTTCTAGCATTCTGATTTAAAGTGACCATGCTGAGCTAGAGGGATGGCTCAGTCACCCAGGTCCAGACAACCTGAGTCTGGATCCCAGCACCCACATCAGGCAGCTCACCATATTCCAAATGTTAAAATGCTCTAAAAGGGAAGGAAAAGGAAACGTGCTTAATTGGCTTCTTGACGTCAAAGCCAATAACTGTTGACAAGTAGTCATTGTAGGAGGTCGTCCAGAGACGCTAAGCACGATCTTGCTCACACACACAGTTTTGGAATCTCATCAGGCCACTGCCTAAGGTAATGTAAGGGATAGTCATGTCTCTAAGCTCCAGTAAACTCAATGGCTCCTTAAGTTAGGCTGAGCCGGGATAGCTTTTAGTCTGTTGTCGGTGCACTATCCAGGGTGAGTGGACATTTGTTAGGAAAAGTCACAGAACAATGGATCCTCAAAGAAATTAACGAAGTTAAGTTGGGAGATGCAGCGGGGCACCTTGGGGAGGTGTGAGACAGTGAGAGAATAAAATAAAATAAATCCAGTTTCCAATAAAATGGAAAAATGGATGAACATCTAGACTCAATGAAAATAAGAATGTCAGATAAACAGTTAAGCCAGATCTATAACAAGCAAACAAGATCAAAACAGTACTTTAAAAGTATGTTTAGGGCTGGAAGAAGAAGCTCATCAGTTAAGAGCACTTGATACTCTTGCAGAGGACCTGGCTGGCTTTGGTCCCAAGCACCCACATGGTCACTCACAACTGCTGAGAACTCAGCTCCAAGGGATCTAATGTCCTCTTCCATCCTCAAACCATCCCAGGAAACAGAAAAGAGACACTGTCAAGTTCCCTCTTTCTATGAACCCTAATCCCAAACCAAATAAACACATCAAAACCAATGTCTTCTCAATGAACATAGATACAAATGTTCTCAATGACATGCTTGTAAAGAGAATTCAGGAACACATCAAAAGGGACACCTTTTTCTTTCCTTTTTATGACTTGTGATTTACTTGTCCTACTTGAGGATTCTACATGCTCCATGGTTTCCTATTTAAAATTAGGACCCATGATAAAAATACATTTGCTTTACAAAATTCCCGCAAGAAAATAAAGACAAGATACCAACGGGAAGAAATCATCAGCCAGTTACTGCCAAAGCCCTAAATCTCCACCTACTAGCTGTCCAGCTTTCAAGTGAAGAGCAAGAGTAAATAGCTATTAATTATCAACAAAATTAAATCAACACTGTCCCATACGCTGCTACATATCAAAGTTATTAAGAAACTTTCCAATTATTTACATTAGTGTGAAATTACATGCCGTGATCTCTTGGTAAAGGAGGCAATTACATGGGTATCCATTTTGCGAGAAACCACCAGGATCTATAATGATGTTGCATGCAACCTTCCATGTTATTTCACTTTTTAAAAAGATTCGGGAGACAATTCATGGAACTCATCTAGCATCTTGAGTAGACAGAATCAAAGCTTTTAAATTTCTAAGAGAGATACATTTACTGGGCAAAAAAAAAAAAAAAAGTTTCAGTGGTATTTACAAGGGACGCATGTAAACGGCATACCTTGTTAGAATTCATTATAAAAACCAATTGGTATCCGTGTATAAAACACTTTTGTCTTTAAGACAAAAATAATGTAAGGAGTCTATAACCTGTTGCAAGCACTGTTTCTGCAACAAGTCAACGGGGCTGGAGAGGAGAATGTGCACTTTTCTCAGAAAAGAGAAGTTCCCAGGATTCAAAGTAAAGGGGAGCACAACAGCATGGCATGCCAGAACTTTCCGTGGACTCAAAGACTGCACGGCTCGAATGCAAACCAACATGGCCAGAGCTTCAACGAGTCAGCCTTATGCTGAGCGCAGCGGCACTCGGCAGATAGCATGGAGGCGGCGTGTGCCCAGGCGACTGGGCAGTCGGGCCCCTGTATCCTCCAGCCTCACACCCTTCCGTTCATACCAATGGCGGAAAGGAAACACCCAAGGAAGCATGCAAGTTTCTGGGCCATGCAGACACTTTCCATGCCACTGTCCCCTGAACACTCCACACACCACTTACCTAACACTAGGGCCCATGAAGAAGCTTTGGATGGTTTGAAATGTGTGGGAGGAAGTACAGAGGTACAGAGGTTATGTGAAAATACCTCCAGGTCTGGGTATCTGCGTGGGGCTCCAGGAACAGTCCGACACACCAAGGGACAACACTATTTGAAAATGAGTCTGGGGAATATTCTATCACACATTTCCTTCTAAGGTTTAAAAAAAAAAAAAAAAAAAAGCACGAAGACGCTTTAAGCTTAGCTGTAATCCCAGAGTGTCCCACCTGAATAAGCGATGCTGATTTTCTCTGAAGTCTGGCCAGCTTCTCAATTTTCAGTATTCTCAGGTGTCTACGTGCCAAAAATCTTCGCCAACATTTTTGAATGACCAGAGCTGCATCGGCCTGTTTCTGCAATCTTCGTCTGGTTAGAAAACTGAGAACAAATGACTGAATAATTCTGGCAGCTTTATCTCTTTCCTTTACAAGGAAAAGGAAAGAAAAAAAAAAAAAAAAAAAAAAAAAAGGAACAAATTTGAGTTGTCTGTTACTTAACAACATGAAGCAAGACTGATGCCCTTTGTGTCACTATCTGGAGCACCCCACATCAAAGGGTAGGCTCCAGGGACTCTAGCAATACATGCCAATTATTAGTCAACAACCACTGGTGGGCGCTGTCTGCACTGCACGGGAGTTTCCTCGGTGTGCGAACACAACTATGGCATAGAACAAACTGTTATTCTAAAATACGAAAAGGGCAACCAACAGATTAACACAAATACCAAGAACCAGGAAAGGGCCATGCAGTACATCATAGCACTGAGGAGGAAATAATAAACAATTCTGAACTCGGGACAGAGGGATGACGCCTACCACAGTGGCCAGACCGTCACCCAGCATTTTTAGGGCCTCTGCTAAGCACGTGACTGCGAATAAAATTCAGCTAGATGCACACCACTAAGATAATGGTAACTGATGGAAAGATTTTTAGAAATGATACAGCTCAGAAATATAGACTGTTTGGATCAAAAATTTAAAACACCAAGGGCATCTTGGATGTAAGAGACTAAAGTAAAATGATGTGGGGGGGAATACATTGCAAGAATTAGCTAGAAAACTCCCCTAAGCTAAGGGCTACTGTGCCCACATCTGCCAGTATTGACCCTCTGCAAAGCATGCCGTCGTTTTTAACGCTGTTCCTACTGTCCCATCATCCAGCTGACAGCTTATTTCCCCCAGACATGGACCAAATACTATGACTTCATTTAATTTGGAGTTTGTGTCTACCTAATGGATAGGAAAAACCAACAGGCTGAACTTTCCCGATTGTCTGCCTGCCAGTTTGTTGCCACGCAGCTTAAGTGACTCTAATGTCAACAGAGGGTTTGTACTAGTTATAATAACAACAACATAAAAGGTAAACTCTGGAAGCTGAAAAGACATCTCAGGATGAACCTCATCAGCCTAGCAGCTCAGGAAATGCCTATGAAAATCGGGAGGGGAAGCTATGCAATGCTCCTAATATATATAGAGATGTCACCATCGCCGTGGGAGAGTGGGGATGTGGCTAGCACGAGAAAGGACGCATAAGAAGTGATCAGATTAACCAATAAAATTAGCCTTTCTGGTGGCTCATCCTGGTTGTCAACATGCCTGGATCCGAGCTGCACTCAAGCCCAAGCAGCACCAGAAAAGCACAACCGAGACAGTTTCCGGTCTCTGGAGACGGGGGCAGAGCACAGCAGGAAAAGGGAAGAGGTAAGGCAAGGACCCCAAGCTTATCCTTCACAAACTTACAAGCAGAGGAGTCATCTATGGCCTCCAGCACATTATGTGGAGGGCAGGCAGGGGATGGAAGGTACATTAGTACCCTCTATTTATATCTCTGCTTCCTAAGACTGTATGTAATTAATAAGCCATCTCAACCACATCTATTTGTGAAATTTACTGAGATCCTATAAAATGCTGTTTTCTTTTTCCACAGTTACCTGATGAAGTTTTAGGTCCCTTTTCAGTTTATGTTTTCTCCAAGTTGCCTGTATAAGTCGGGCAGCTCTTATTTCTTTACGGAGATCCAAAAGCCTTGCACAAAGAAATGACAAATAGGTAATAACCACCTAAGGAAGACACAAAAGAGGAAAGTAAAGCTTCAAGAGGGAACAAGGACTCACTGTCAACCTCTGGGCCTCATTAAGAGCGATTATCAGCTGGCCATGGTGGCTTTCCCTCCTTCAGGAGGTAAAGGAAGGCTGATCTCTTGAGTTTGAGGCGACTTGGTCTACACAGTGAGTTCCAGGACAGCCAGGTCTGCCCAAAGAAACCCTGTCTCCAAGCACAAAACACAAAGGGCGACGATGAAGAAATCACTCACTGACCTTTTCATCTGGAATCGTGTTTGACATGTCTGCATGATGAATCATAGCAGGTATTCCTCCAAGATCTCTGGCTGCACATCTCACTAGATGGAAATTTTTCTTTTCATTTTCTAGAAGCTCTTTGTATAGCTCTGGAGTGCTTTCTGTTAAGTACGCAAGAGACAAAGAGGTGAGCGCAGCCAGAAGTCGGACACGGCAAAGAAAGCGACTACGTAATCAAACCAAAGGGACCGACCGTGGTCAAGTGCTTCAAGAGACAGATCCAGACAGCCCCCGTCAGATTCGGACGAAGAATTCAATACCACTGAGCCAGTTTGTGCACAGGACACGGACTGCGTAGTGCGCTGGCATATGGCGTCAAAAGGCACATAGCACGGGTGGTAATGGTGGATCAGGTAACACAGTACACGGCCGTCTGAGAAGGACACTGTAAAATTCTCCACCTGCGTGCAAATACCAGAGAGGCAATCAGGTCTAATTGGATGTCAGCAGAAACAACATTTAGTCTTTTTGTTTCCTTACAAGAGCTAAAGGCGTTATTAACTGGTAACGTAGGTAGACAGTGCTAACACCAGCCCAGTCACACCCAAATTTTTGGTTCTTAAATAACATTTCGAAAGTAGGTTTGATTATAGGTATTACTGTCCTTGGTTGGATAGCATCTCTCAGAATACTGCCCTTTCCAGAACCTCAGAATATGACTTTATTTAAAAAAGAAAAAATAACAGAGAGATACAGATAGAAAACACAGAACACTGTGTGATGGTTAAGGAAGGGACTGAACTAATGCAGGTTCAAATAAGCCTTTAAAGAGACTATGGACTGACCAACACCTTGTCTTTGGGCTTCTGGCCTCTACAACTGTTGAAAGAATAAAACTGTATATTAAGTCAACCATGCACAGTCATGTATTATGGCAGGCTTTGGGAAGCCATAAGACTTATAGAAAATGAACCACTCTCTTAATGGAAAAAAACATATTCAGGCTAAGTTCCAACATCTCCATCAATCATAAAACCTGTTCCATCCTCACAGCCCATACACAGCACTGGAATGGATGCGGATACCAAGGTTATTTGTCACGTGGTCAATCTGAAATATGACGGTCTTCCCTTAGGAACGTTACTCAGTGCTTCAGCGCTACATTTGAGGGCGACGTCAAACAAGAAAGTCAAAGAAAAGCAGGAAATACAAAAAAGCATGTAGATCATGAGGACAGAAGGGGCAGATTCAAGAAGGTGGGATCACTGTTCATCCTCAGCTGAGAATTAGCGCCTCAGCACTGGCGGTGAGCAACCAGACAGAGCCACTATCCACTTCACAGGCGGAAACAGGTTTCAGCTACATTCACAACTAATCATCAGTCATGTGTTTAATGCCAAAGGAGCTAATTGCAACATTGGCCAGCCATACAGCTAGCCACGTTCCTAGTGGCATGTCTTTGAGGTGTAACAGTTCACTATGTCCCTAGGGACATAGTTCAATATTCCTTATCAGGGAGCTTGTATGTATGTGGGAAGGTTTCTCAAGGATTTGTACTTCAAAGGCTGTATCATACCCAAAGTATCAACCTGACCATCATTATAAGACTCAACCAAAGCCTGTTACCCCTTTCTGCATGGTGTTTCTTTGGATGTTACTATATAGTAATGTCAGGATTTCCATGCCCCAACCCTGTAGTATCTGCCATCAAAATGTTTCTTTAATTTTGTGGACAGAATGTAACACATATATATCACTGTAGCCTACTGAGTCATCCCCCACCCCACTTTCACCATCTCACCCTTCCGATTCGGTGTCAAATGTGTATATATGTATGTGTGTATATTAATATGTTGCCATATATATGAATTTAAATTCAGATTTAACATAGTGGACAATGCAACATTTGCCTTTCGTAAAGATTTTCATATTTCTTGGGGATTACTGCACACTCTTCAACTGATTGGTGATTGATTGCATAACAGGTTGATTGCATACAAACTACAAGATGATAATCATTCTCCTGAGAAACAATTTGCTAACAATGAAATGTGCATAGCATGTGTGTACGCAGACAGGGCTAAATATTTAAGGAATGCGGGAAAAGATTTATGTGTATTTGTTAGACTTTAACCAAGGTTTGTTAAATTTAGACCAAGAACAGAAATACCAACCTGCTTATCGTAGAAGGCACAAACGGCATTTACCCACTCCACCAACAACTTAACACTGTCTCCATAGTGTTCAAAGCACCCGCTAAGCCTTCTGTCGCTTTGCTTATTAGCACCAGCCCGAGAATGGCGCGATACGGCAGACATTGCTCTTTTTATATTGTATGTGTGTTTTAGGAAATCAATTTCTTCCTTTAATTGATCCACATTAAGGGAAACATCCACCTGAAAAGTACAAAAACGTCAAATGCATTTTTATCTTTTTCATATTTCCTTTTTTTGACCCTCAAAATTTAACATAACTGTTTGTGTAAAAAGAAACTGAAGATGGAAAAACAGCCTAATCAGAAATGTTGGCCAACGAGGCTGAAGGGACAGCTCAGGAGGCAAAGGCCCACTGCAGAGTCATGAAACCCCAAGCACAGATCACCAGCACCCACGCCCAAGCCAGGCACAGCAGAATACTTGCCACCCTGTTTCTAGCTGAGCAGAGACAGATTTATCTTGGGAACTTGCTAGCTGGACAGTCTAGCCAAGTCAGTGAGCCTCAAGTTCAATAAATGACTTTGTATCAAAAAAAAAAAAAAAAAAAAAAAAACCACACACAAAAACAAAGCAAGCAAACAAACAAAAAAAAAAAAAAAAAAAAAACCAAAAAAACAAAAACCACAAAAAAGCCCAAGTGAGCAACTGAGGAAAACATCCATCATTATCCTCTTACCTCTCCACACATAAACATAATAAACTCCACACATAAACTTAATAAACATTTAACACATGCACAAACACACACACACACACACACACACACACACACACACACACACACACACAGAGGACTTTTTCTTAAACCCCCCCAAAAAAACTACCTAAAATATGTATTTTAGCACAAAAACTCTATTTTTAGTGACAAATAGTTCCTACACATAAATGACAGAAATGTTTAGTGGTTAAAAATATGGAATTTGGGGCTAAAGAGAAGGCTCAGCCATCAAAGGCTAGACTCACAACTAAAAACTATGGAATTAAGGTGTATATAAATCTAGGTTCTACATTTAGCTCTATTTCTTCTAAGATGGAAACTTTAGCTTCGGTTCTTTTATGAGGAAGGAAGCAATATTTACAATGTCTATAGTGTAAAGGATTAAATAATTGGGAAACATAAAGCAATCACCACAGTTCCTAGCATAAAGTCTAAAAAGTGATAGTGAGTATTGCCAGTTTTCACTTCATTAAAAGTAATTTTAGCAATCGACATTCAAAATAAATTTCAAAAAACGCATGCTGAACGTACAGTACCTGAAAAGCAAATGCTATTTTCCAAAGCAGCCCGAGCGTTTTTTCTCTGTGTCTATCTACGATATCCTTAGACAAGATAGTGTTTCCTACAAGTGAAAGGCAGTGTGTTAGCACGATCTAGGCACGCATCGAAGTTGAGCAAGGACGCTACATTTTATCCCTGTTCAGTTTTTACCGTGCTCATCAGTTAGTGGAACCCCTCGTGACTTGAGGACCTGAAGAACAATGTCAACGTTGTGCATCTTTTGAACCCGACTTATTGCAGGGATCCTGAGTTTCTTTGACAGACTCCAGTTCTGTGTGAGAAGTTCCATGGTTCGCCTAGCAGGAAAAGAAATTTTCAATGAAGCTTCTGCTTACGTGTCCAAGTTCACTTGAATCAAGTCACAAAACTATGGACACCTTAAGGACAAAATGGCTCCCAGAAGCTACTCCAAGCTTCCGCTGTTTGAGTTAGCAAACGGGATTATTTTTCATCCCGTGTGTCTGGAGGATTGAAATCTACAAATACCGAGAAAGTAAAGCACAAGACACTTGCACATATGAACAAACCAGCAGACTTCCACGCAGTTAAGACGGAAGCAAATGCGGAGGGGAAGAGTTTGGCAGGAAAATGCGGGGCAGGTTTCAAGATACGGGATAGTCCACACACCGAGCAAGCGCTTGCTTCTCTTGTTTCTGTCATCAAGCAAATCCCGTACTTTAGGCATTAACCGCTCCTACCCTTTTACTTTACAAAAAGGGATCAAGACTTGGACAAGTTAAGTGAACTTGGTCACACAGCGAGCAAATAATGACAGAAGGAAGATGAGAGCTGAAATCAGTTTCCATGTCATAGCAGATCACTATATCTGAGAACCTACCTAAAAAGAGATACATCAGAATTTGAAATCCACCTCCCTATAGCATCTACTACTCATTTTATCATTCATAAGTAAAATGGATACAATTAAAAGCAGCCTAAAGGGATGAGGCGCTCATAAATCCACTGCTGACACAAAACATTATTAACTGTTCAATACTTAAATCAGTTTCATGTCCTTCATGACTAGAGTTCTGAGACACTGGGAGCTCCCATCCACAGATCCTGGTCCCATGAGCAGCAGAGAAAACAAAAATGTGTCGCATAACTCAAAGAGAAATGTCAGGCAGTATTTTTAAAAATCGTGAACTTATTGCATTATAGACTATATTTAAAATATTAGTTTAGAAAATGACACTATTTCAAAAACAATTTGGCCTAGCCCATTAAGCAAAACTGTAACTTCTACTTACACAAGGCGCACCCCACATTGCAGGTCCACAGCAAGATTCGTAACAGCAAAATCAAATTCGTCAAGTGGTGTCTGCATGTGGCTCACAGGCAATCCCAACAGGCTAAGGTGGCGAGAAAGGTCACCTTCGCCACTCAGGAAATCCCGCGAAAAGGCTAGGAGAAGTTCTTTACTGGCCTGTTAACAGAGAGCAAGTATTACGTCTCAATATTACAATTTTATTTATGATAACAGCAAATCTTCAAACCATCCTCTGCTTGCAGAAATAACATGAGGAGGATAGAGATTGCCTATGACCAAGGCAAATGCAAGTTCACATTTCCAATTCAAGACCTCATGAAAAACTGTTCACAACTAAGGAAGGTATTTCCCCCGAAGTTAATCCCACAGCAGCATAACACAGTTAATTCTCAAATCAAAATTAGAAGCAAAAGTGAATGGGAAACTGTCTTCAACTAAATCAGGCATTTTAAGTCGGGGGGGGGGGTTTCAACTCTACAAATACACTGTAGTAAGAAAGAAAATGAGACATGAATGAATACACGGATAAACCGAGCCCTACACAGATTCCCAATCCTGTTCCACTTCCCAGCGTGTTCACTGGAACCCAAACAGTTTTTTACGTCAGAGAACATAGCCACACCAAAGCAAGACGAAGTTTTGTAAGTAAAATAAAAGAATGGCACCTTGAATTCAGCATCTTTACAAAAGAGACAAGGGTCGTGATCAATGAGTCTGGAGATTTTAGCGTAGTCAAGGAAACACACCAACAACAGTAATTTTTTCAACGTGAACTTAGACAATGCTGCTTCGTGACCTTAAAGTACAAACGAGCAAAACAGTGAGTCTATCTGTGAAAGGCAATGATAATCATACATTAGCAAAAATGGCGGCAGATAACACCTAAATCATCACGTGCTTTTTCTTAGCAATTTACAGGCAGGAGTCAATCAAATATCTCTACAGCACAAGTACTATTTAATGTGTCCGATCCATGGAAGAGGGAACACAATGGCATTTAGCTGGCCTCATGAAACAGGTATTTAATGAACAACGTACTACCATAAGCAAGCACCATCCTAGGTGCTACACAGGAAGCAGCCAATTGAAACAAACACAGTCCCCATAGGACTTACAACCTACTGGGGTGAGACAGTGGGCAGAGATGGCGAGAGATAGAAACAGCGACTGGGGAAAGGGAAAGGTGCGAGGAGAAGCAAACCTAGTCCAAACGGAGAGCGAGGTGCGAGCTAAGAGGGACGGGACACTAACAAGACACTCACCGTCTCGAAACAGGAGGGGAACGGCGGGGTGTCTGTACTCGGCTGCTAGATCAGGGCTCCAAAGTAAGCGATTTAGAATGAACATAGCCAACCCTGTGACATCGCTGTTATCTGCCAGAGGGATCAGTTCCCCATAAACCGTCTGCAAAGAGAAGGCGGCGAGGAGAGGCCAGGGTTACACCAGCCGGCCGTGAGGGGGAGGCGCCAAGCAGCTGCTGGAGGCGAGCAGGCTCCTGTCCTGTAAGGTATACAAAAGGCCACAGAGGCGACGCCACCGGCTGCAACATGCCTGACAAATGACACCCTGACACTGTGCACACAGCCTGCATGCACTTACAGTGCGTGTGAGAGACTCCGAAACGAAGAAAAGACGATCTGACTCATCATCTAAGAAAGCCACTCACAGTTTAATTATTTTTTTCAGTCTCAATCGAGGACATACCAAGTATAGGCAGACTGCTCAAATTTAGCAACTGTCTTAGGAAGTATGCCGGTAAAATAAAACAGAAACCTAATTAAACTTTTACAACAGTTAATGAGAAAGTTACCTATGAATAACCTGGGTTTTTATTATTCCTGTTACAAGCTATCGTGTGATGATGATGCAATTGTGCATGTAATGGCGCCTGTGTGAAAAAGCAATGGGATAGAATCTGCAAGTAGTTTTGATTTGCACTTCCCTGGTGCAGCAAGGCTGCTGAACGATTCTTTAAGTGTGCCCTGGGCACTTGAGTTTCCTCTACTGAGGATTCTACTTAGGTCTGTGCCCCATGTTTTAAGTGGACCACTTGGTTTGCTGGTATCTAGTTTCTGGAGTTGATTACGTATTTGGATGTTAGTCCTCTTCTGGATGTGGAGTTGGTAAAATTCTCTTTTCCATTTAGTCACCAGAACAAACCCCTCTCAGTCAACTGATGGGAGCTTAGGAAGTCAGAGACCGAGGCAGCAAGTTCAGGACCCCTGTGGGTCTGCACCAGGGCCTGTGTGCAAGCATGTATTACAGGTTCCAGTCTGGTATGTTTATGAGGCTACGGAGTGTGTGAAGAATGAACGGCTCTCTGACTCTTCTGCCTGCTCTGGGCTCTTCCCCCTCCATTGCTTTGCCTTGTCCAACTACAATTTGACGGGTCAAAAAAAAAAAAAAAAATCTTATATATTTCACTTTGTTATGTTTGATTGTTATCTATTAGGAGCCCGTTGTTTTCGAACAAGAGACAGAAAGGAAGTAGGTCTGTGTGGAAGGGACGTGGGGAACAATGGGAAGTGTTGGGAGGGGAAAGAGTAATCAGAATATATTGTATGAGAAAAGATTCTATTTTCAATAAAATGGTAAAAAAATAATAATAATGTAGATTAGATTGGAAACTTCAAATAATTCCTGAGCAAATTACTTTGGAAACAGTATGCCAGTAACTTACAAAGGCACAATCTATTCACCCAGTAAGTATTTATTAACTAAGCTTATTATTTTATACAGGAAGATTGTGGTGATAGTTTGTTTATAATCTAACAAATAAAGCTTGCCTGAAGATCATAGTACAAAGCTAGCCACACTTGTTAGCCATTGGGGCCGGGCAGTGGTGGCGCACACCTTTAACCCCAGCATTTGGGAGACTGAGGCAGACAGATCTCTGTGAGTTCAAGACCACACTGAACTACATGAAATTGATCCAGTCTAAACGACAAACAGAGCTTGGGATCCCATGCCTTTAATCCCAGAACAAGGGAGGACTATGGCATGGGAGGAGACTGGAGATAGGGCAGTCTGAGGACAGCATCGCTCCTTTGGTCTGAGCATTGGTAGAGGTAAGAACTCTCTAGTGGCTGGCCACTTTGCGTCTCTGATCTTTAACCCCTACATCTGACTCTGGGTTTTTTTTTTTTTTTTATTATCAATATCAATTAGAATTAGTGCTACAGAAGATGAATCAAGTCAACCAAATGACTTTTCTAAGCAAAAACCACGTTACAAAAGAGTGTATTCTACTGAAAGCATATAATCTTTAAAAGCAACTGTTTTCTAAAACTGAAAACTTACCTCCAGGCCGATTCGAAGCCACAAAGGATTATAAGACAGCAGCCAATTCAGGACTTTTTGTCGTTCTCCTGAAACATAGGTCAGAAGACAAGTAAGAAGACATTACTAAACAGAGGCAATACACGAAACTCTTCAGGGGATGTATCAGTGCAGAACTAAACAAGAGGTTACATCTCTCAAACACAGGACCACTATCTGTTAGAGTTCAGGGAGCAACCAAAAAAATGCAGCATTTCATGTACAGGAAGGAGCTGAAATCAATATGTGAATGAGGTAGCCACAGTCAGCCGAGGCAATCTTAATGTCTATAGCAGATAGCAAGCACACTTTATCCATGCACAGACACACTGATACAGACAGACACAGACTCACTCAGACAGACACACACACGCACACACGCACACATGCTCACGGGCACACACACAAACACGCACGCACACACACAAGCATATTAATCTGCTCTAAAGAAAGCTAAGTGCTGCCATTTCTTAATGGCATGGGTGAACCTGGAGAACATTAAATAAGCCAGGGGAACAAGACAAATTCTATACGATGTCACTTGAAATTATCATGCCCACAGAAGCAGAGAATGGTGATTATTGAGAGGCAGGAAGATGTTGTCTAAAAAAAAAAAAAAAAAAAAAAAAAAAAAAGTACAAAACTCCAATTATGCAAGGGGAGTAAATCTTGGAGATCTGCTATATAGTATGGGTGAGTCTAATAACTAACATTATACCACAGACCTTTAAGTTACTGAGTGGATCATATATGCCATACACACACACACACACACACACACACACACACACACACACACACACACACTAAGGTTACCGTGGACGTTACTTACCTAGATTGTGACCACTATTCACTGCACAAGGTAACGCGAAAATCTTAACAGTATTTTAAAAGAACGGATCTCGGCATTTCTATAATCTTACCAATATCTTTCCAGAGGTGTCTGTCTTTCCGTACAATTAGCCGCCCAACTTCAATTTCAATTTCAAGCTTTTTGATAGCTTTGACCATTTTCTCGCAAGTGAACAAGGAGCAGGCTGCTCGCCGTAATCTATTCATCCTGCAGCTGGCCGTGTAAGCCCTGAGGGAAACTTCGTCTTTGGTGGGTGCTTTCGGGACACTCACTTTATGTTGGCTCTCCACTCCCAAAACCAGGGTGGCAGCATTTACTGAATGAAACAACAAAGCAGAGGGCAACGTCCTGACTACGCGGCATCATCTCTTACACCTTACTCAACCGAGTGACTGGATGCTCACCCTCCACGCCCTCTCCTGAGTTTACAGCAGTCACTATTGGCTGAGGACAACCCACCAAGCTCCATCCACAGGGTGCCTACCAATGCAAGGTCTTCTCATTAACTTCACACACAACCTCAGACACTAGCACATCTAACTCAGACCAGCACAGCGGCAACAAGTTTCTATCTCCTTATGAGTTAATAAAAAGTTAAGCCTCTGAGACAGTGGTTCTCAACCCTGTTAATGAATGAGGTGACCCTTTAACATGTTCGAGGTACGGTGGCCCACCCCCCAAACGTAAAATTATTCTTTGCTTCTTCACGACTGTAATTTTGCTACTGCCATGAATTGTGATGTAAATACCTGATATGCGGCCCCAGTAAAATGGTCCCCAAAAGGATCGTGACCCATAGGCCGAGAATCAATTGAATCACGACAATTTGAATGCTGTGTGTGTGTGTGTTTATATGCATGTGTGTGCACGTGACGGAGACAAGGCAATCCGGGATGCCACTGCTCAGGCGCCCTCTACCTTCTTAATGATTTCTGAGACGGCCTCCCGCTCAGCCGGAACTGACCAAGTAGGCTAGGATAGTGGAGAAGTGAACGCCGCGGATCTACAGTTCTCCGGCACGTTCTGGGTTGCCTTTGTGTGGCTTCTAGGAGCCAAGCTGGGGTCTTCATGTTCGCACGGCTTTGCCAAGTGAGCTGACCCCCCTACCTACAGCTGAAACTTCATGAGACACATTTCTATCTTAAGGAGAAGAAACATCAGAAAGTCTGACTCCAAGGAAAAGAAGCACAGGGGCAGAAGGCCCAGAGTTCAAACGCCCCTTTAACGCAGACATCCTACAGTTAAGTCTGCCTGACAACTACAAGCCGGCGGGGGTAGCTTGATCTGTTACTGTCTCTGCCTATATTTCTGTGCCAGCGTTAACACTCCAGGTCCCTTCTCCCTCACAGGACAGTTCTGCAACTCTTATGCCCACATCCATTTCCTCCTGCACAGTGAGCTCCAGGATAGTTTTAAATTCCTCAGGAACTGGCTCCCAGGTCCCCTCATAGTTACCTAACTCTCCTGCAGAACCCTTAAACTAGTGAGTGTAACAATGAGCTGGGCAAACATCAAGCACAACGTAATCACCCAATATGTACAGTTCAAGAACGCTTACCTTCAGAAACATGTGTTTTCACGGTGAAGTCATCGGGTGTTAGTATGTAATTCAGCCACCAAGTGAAACCCTGTTCCTGCTTCTCCTTCCAGCGTTCGTCATAGAACATGTTCTTTGCGGCAAAAGGCATTGGGTGTCTAGGAATAGCTAAGAATATAATTAATTTACTGTGTAAGAAATTTTCCTTTCAATTGTTCTTTTTTTTTTTTAAAAGAAACCAAAAGAACTTCTGTACTAGCAAAATTGTTTTTAAAACACTGAACACCATCTGCTTTCACAACTTGCTGGAGGAAGTCGCAGACTTCTCCAGTGTGCGATACACAGTCAAAGCTAAGGCTAAACACGTTGTTTCCCTGTTAGCCTACCCTTTCAGTTTGATTAATACAAAACACTCTGAGATAAAAAGCACTTGCCTGCTTTTAGAGGCTTGATGAAGGTCAGATGAGACTGTGCCACAGCGACAATGGGTCGTGTCCTTCTCTTTGTTTTAGAGAGAGGCGTTTTTAATACTAACGAATCTAAAACAAAATAGAAAACACAACAGCATTTTTAAAAAAGTAAATAAAGTGGATTTTTCCAAATGGTAACTAATTTCGAAATCAAGCTCGGCTTCTTCACAATCACATTCACTAATGAGACAGATACTTAATGACGACCGCCTTCGTTCTAGGTGCGAATGTTATGAAACTTCAGTAATCACACCTGCAACCCCTGGGGGGCTGGAGGGACGGAACCACTGTTCCGAGCTCTGGCTGTCATTCCGGAGGACCCGAGTTCAAATCTCAGATCCCACAGGGCGGCTCTACCATCTCTACGTCCAGCCCCAGGGGATCCATTGCCCTCTCTGGCTTCTGTGGGCACTAGGCACGCACATGCGGAACAGGCAGACACACCTGGCAGGCAATACGCCCACACTCACCGGAGTTAAAACTAACATGTGCACGTTACAGACCACAAACCAGTTAGTGACCTACAGAAGCCGGCATCCTGATGGAGCCACAGCTTAGTGTGGGCACGCTCCCAGTCATGGGGTGGCCGCCAGCCTTCGGCGGTCTCCGGCGGCCTCTGAAGAGAAATTCGCTGGGATCTGTTTAAGGGATATGGACTACTTAACAGAGCTGCAATTAAGGATAAAGTTTATGGATAAAGCATGTGAAAAATGGCGAAGTAGGGAAGAGTTCGGCAACTAGTAGTTAAATATATTGTACCAGGAGCTATCAAATACTAAATCCAAAGCCTTATTCACATACACCACTAATCACAGTATTATAATCGCCCACAACTTGTGTAATTAGCGTACTGGGCTTAGAGCAATTTTGTAGTCAAATTTACACAGGCTAGCAAATCAGAACCATGACGTATGACATCATAAAATGAATACTTAAGATATTCTCATAGTCTGGAGATTAGGATAATAAGAATTTCTAGGAGGAAAGAACCAAAGACGGCACCGGTGTGGAAAGGCGGCTTGTGATAGTGGAGGCTCTGAGTTCAGTTATAAATAGCTAACAGCTGGTCAAGATGATGTAAGAAACAGCTACTGTATATACAACCATATGTCCCCGCTGGCCATGCTCCCGTCTCCTGCTTCTTTTAATCAAAACCTAGGAAAATCGATAGTCAACATTCTCTGAGTTATGCACTTGTTTGGATATTATTTTTTTCTGTATGGGTTATACTTGGATCAAGGGGTATGCTCTAAAAGGTGCCCGTTTGCACCAGCAATTTCTAATCCCTCCCCTACCTAACAGATGAACCGCAATCAGTGTTGAGTACTCTACAGACACCACAGCAATGCCAAGGTCAATGACCAGGGGTTTAGGAGACATATCCCATCTGTAGGGGATGGGATAAAATATAACCCCATAGGTTCATAGTTTATATTTGGGGAAGTTGTGAAACCTTACGCAGGCATATAGCCTTCCCTGAGGAAGCACGTTGTTTTTCTTTTGTAATTGTTGCTGCCTTGGTTTTTTGTTTTTTGGGTTTTTTTTTTTTTTTTAATATATATAGTTTTATTTTTTAAATGATATTCTTAATTTAAATTTGAAACAAGCTTGTTTTACATGTCAATCCCAGTTCCCTCTCCCTCACCTCCTCCCCTGCCCCCCCCCCACCAATCCCCATCCCTCCCCTTTCTGCTCCCTAGGGAGGGTGAGTCTGTCTATCATGTCGTGTGTCTAGGCTGAGAGGGTACCTCCCTTTATGCTGCCTTTTAAGCTACATACGGCTACACTATTCAGCAACTAACTGCCACTCTGTTGCTACCAGCAGAGGCTAGGCCACAAGAGCAGAAGCCTGAGGGAATGCTGACTCTTTCAAAGATACTAAGAAAACTTATTTAGATCTCCGTCCCACTAAAGAAATCAAGATTTAAAAGCTGAGCTAGAATCCTGCTTACCAGAGAAGCTAAATGGCAAGCACCTCGCCTAGCTTACCTCCTGGCGTCCCCCACGAAGTACCCCAGCTGGTTCTTGCCGCCCTCCTTACAAACCTTCTCCACCTGGCTCCTCTCTACAACTTCCTGCGAGCTGGACGCTGACCCAGCCTCCTGACCACAGGTGAATTTTATTTAACCAAACACATCTTTGCATCATCAAACAGATTACTCACTGGAGAGAGTATCACCAGACAAGTTCATTCTGAGAATAATTGCTCACTACACCAAGGAGAGATATGAGTGACAGTCAGGAAGATGAGCATGAAGCTATTTGGGTTTTTTTTTGCTGTTGAAGAAGAGAAACAATACTTTGGAAATAGATACGAAAAGCAGATAAAAAGGTCCCACCACGAGGTCCAAGGTCATTTGGATATAGTATTTTTCAAGTCATAATTTATGCAGGAAAACCATGGACGAAATATGAAATTTAAATTGGGGCAAGGTCACGACTATTTCAAAGCACCACATCGCAAGTCTCGACAAACTGCTCTGAGCACAAGTGAAGGGAAGCCCGCCCATCAATAGCAGATTCACTAATTCAGAAAACTCGCTAAAAACAGAGCGCACATTCTTCAGCTGCACTTTGTACTTGAGACGTTACAGACAAAACTTACCGGTTTTCTTCATCTGGCTGGATTTCTCCCAGTTGCTGAGATGTTTAGAGGTGAGTGTTTCTTTCCTCTTGGCTCTCGCAGTAGTAGACAATGCAGATTCGGGAGGAGAGAAGTGGATTCGTTTGATCTCACACACATCTGCATGTTCTGTAACAACACTTAGCCTTCCATTTGCGCCTCCCGTGGTCCCGCTGCTGCTCTTCCTTTTACGAGACACTGAGGCTGTAGCTAAAGGCGTCGCTTCATTTTTATAACCCTCGGGTTTACTGGTTACTGGCTCTACGACCGGGAGATGGGAATGACGACCTTTCTCTTCTAGGTTAGCCCTTTCGTGGTCTCCACATTTGCCTACTAGACCCCTGAGACATCTCTTTGCATTCGGCTTATCAATCTCTGGTAGCTTTTCTCTGGCGCTGCCAGGCTTCTTTTTGGTAACAGTGGCAGAGAGTATCGGGCGTCTCTTTGGTTGCTTATTCTGGTTACAAAGAGAAGCGTCAGAAATACTGGGATGTTTCGTAAAACCCGGGTTATGAGATTTTATTTCCTCGGGGTTTTGTTTTTCAAAGCAGACTTTGGGAGTTTCTGAGTGCAGAAGCTCCAGGCTACATGCTAAACCTTCCCTTACTCTCCAGTCCTGGGAAGTTTTATTGGATAATGCTGATAACTTTGATGTTTGCTGACCTACGTGTACCATATTGTCCTTTAAAAACTGTGTTGGAGATGAAACGGGATTGGCTGAATCTGATTCAAGAGCTCTTTTAAGTCCATAATTATCATTTAAAAAAGAATCTGGGCTTAGGATTGTTTGGCAAACGTCACGTATGTTATGGGATTCCAAACACAGAGACCCTGAGTTGTCTTTCCTAAATGTTTCTGATAAAACATTCCTCACTAGTCCTAGGCCATTATCAGATGCATCGCTGTTGTATACAAAAGAATTTGGACTCAGGAAATTGATTGGGCTTTGTGTAATACTCAAAGGTGATGAACAGTTTGGGGCAAGAGGAATTTCACCCTTCTCTCCTTCTCTTCGGTCACTAATATTAACGGGATTAAGAGGAGACTCATTTGTGACCTTCTCGTTAAAGTTAAAATCATCTGAAACACCGGCATCTTGTACTTTTAAACGTGCATTTTTGGATCCATGCAGAGATGAATAGGCAGTAGACATGTGGAAAAGCACTGTCAAGCAGGATTCATTCTGGCACTCTTTGACGGGGCTAACAGATGAGGTGGGTACTTTGTTTTCTTCAAGAGATAAAGAACTGTTTTCTGTCGGAGAACAGCATTCACTCATACCCAGATTTTCACAGGCCTGCAATGGGCTCCTAACTCTGCCAACCTTTTGTGAAATGGTAAATGCTTCATTACAATTTTGGCTTTTGGAAGTCCTTTTATTATGTTTTGAAGAGGTTGGAATCTTCTTAATGGTATTCCAGCGACTTCTCTGTAAAAGTAAATGAAATAAACTAAACGAGCTGCAAGTTGTTCTCTATTGCTCTTAAGAAAAAAAAGAGAGATGTCATACATGTCACTTCATGACTCCCATCAAAATCATTTCTCTATAACAAATACTTCCTTTCAATACGTCACAGAATGATTAAAACATTACCTTTTTCTTTCTGTCCTCTTCTGCATTTCCTAGTAATATAGCCTGGTGCTTAAGAAAATCATTTACAAGAAACGTCACAATCTCCCTTACTCTTCCTTCCTTCACTGGCGCCCAGGTAACAGAAACAGTAACTTTTTCTTCAGGCTGAAAGAATAATACATTTTAAATGATTATGATAATATAACCAGGTAACAAACATTCAAATGCACGAAATATAACTTAGATTAACAACCCGTTAGATTACCACACTGCCAAATAGAGTTAAATATGTTTTTTCCTACTTTTACTTTCTTAAGCTAATTCATTGTAAGAACAACAAAAAAGCTACCAGAAATAAAAGTCCACAACAAAATACAATTATAACTATAATGCAAACTATAAAATTATAATAAAATGTAATTTCACAAAAGCAAAAGAACTGATAATATACAAGTCATTTTAACAGAATTGCTTTAAAAGAAGAAGAAGAAAAAAAGTAGTTGTGGGGCCTGGGAACCTAACTCAGTGTCGCAGTGTGGACTTTGATCAGTCTAAGTTGCCAGAAACCTCAAATGCAAAAGTTTTTCTTGAAAAGTAGATTATCTTCCTCCTTCTTCTATTCCTAACCGGGCTCAATCTTCCTACTCACTTTCTCCTACTTCTCTCTCCATTTGCTGCCCCATGGAGAGGACAAGACCAGGCGGCAGAAACACATAGAGACAGCTGACCTGAACAAGGAAGAGCTAACAGGCCCCCCAGACTGATAGCTGGGAATCCAGCATGGGGCTGACTCAGACCCCCTGAACATGGGTCTCAGTTAGAAGGACTGAGCAGTCTAAGGAACCTCAGACAGTGGAGCCAGGATGTATCCCTGGTGCACAAAATGACCTTGAGGACACATCCCCCAGGGAGGGATAACTGCCTTAACCTAGAGACAGGAGAGAAGTCCTAGTCCCGACTTCACAGGACCTGTCAGATCTACATGACCCCAACTGTATGGCATTCCCCTACATATGGAATTGGGGTGGGGGGATGGGAGGGGAAGTTGGTTAGAGTGCATGTGAGAGGGCAGAAAGGGTAAAAGGGAGGAAGAGAGAGAGGGAGGGAGGGAGGGAGGGAAAGGGAACTGGGATGGACATGTAAAATAATAAAGTAAATAAAAAAAAAACAAAAACAAAAATAAAAAGTAGACATCATAGTTTTTTTCTAACCACCTGATTAAAAAAATAACAGAGAATTTTTTTCTCTATAAGCCAGCACTTATCCTTAAAAAATTTTTTTTTAAAAAATCCTCAGATCAGTCTTTTCCTTAAGACCTTTTCGTAATGGTTACTAGGCAGATCTGTCCATCTAATTGTTTTCACAGCTTTTGAGGTTCTACTCCATGAAAAGGACTTTTCCAACTCTACAATGACAGCACAAAAAAAAAAAAAAAAAAAAAAAAAAAAAAAAACCAGAAGGAGCAACCTACAAAGGCGTGCCCACCCATCACATACACATACCAAGTACGGTCCAGAGTCAGTAAGGATGCTTTTAAGGGTTTTGTCTGGATATTGAAGCAAGACAGCTCAGTGGAAGTGTATGTAGTTCCACTGAGTCTAAACACACGTATAAAAAGTAAAATGCATATTTAAATGGCTGAAAGGAAGCATGCAGAAAACTTTCGTGGACGTTACAATGTCTAATCTCAAAAAAGAGAACGCTAACCTCAAAACGTACTTTGCAGTGACTGCCAAAAGCCTATAAGTAAATAAACAAATAAAATAAACAAACAAACGAATGAATGAACTAAAAAAAACTGCGTAACTGAAACTTTCTGAAACGCTTCTGATGACAGGAGCTCGAAGCTCTCCAAGTCGTCATGTCATTGTGCAGCAAGAAAGCTACTGACCGCTTTTTTTTTGGGGGGGGGGGCATGTATTCGCACAAATCACAGGGTGCCAAAGCCTGTGCACAAAGCCAAGACTTTTTTGAAGCCAGGATCCCCTCCAGTTCTGTGTACGCCAGCCCCGCCCTGCGGTGCAAAGGGGAGCGTCCCTGAATCACTGGAGGAAGCTGACCTGAGCGAGCATCTGGGCGCCCTCATGGGCATCAGCCCCAGCATCAGCACCAGACCCAGCATCAGCTCCAGCATCAGCCTCAGCCCCAGGGTCTGACTTAGTTTCCCCAAGGTGTGCCCGGGATGGAGGTGACCACGCCCCGGGATGTGCCACGCCCCTCGCACCCACCTTCAGCTCGCAGTGGCTGGGCTCGGCGCTGAAGCCCTGGCCCGCGGCGCGCAGCAGCGACAGCTCCACCCGCAGGGGCTCCGCGTGCGGGTTCTGCAGGACCAGGGCCCGCGTCCGGGACGCGCCCACGCGGACGTCCCCGAAGCACAGGAACGGAGCGGCGCAGAAGTGGCTGAGCCGCAGCACCGGAGGGGACGGGTCGGCCCCCGACGCCGGGGCGGACGGGGACCCCCGCGCGCGCCGCCCGCTCGCCTCCTGCCGCGTTGCCATAGCAGCCGCCCGCACCCAGGATCCCGGAGGGCTGGTACCCGCGGGCGGCTCCCCGCCTGCTCCAGGGACCCGGGCTCAGGACGCGGACACGGACCGGCAAAGACAGACACACGTTCCCAAGCGTGCAGGCACCGACCCAAACAGCCCGGGCCGCTTTTGCTTCGGTTCAAATGCTCGCACTCCACCAATGGCAGCTCCGGGAGCCGCCGTGCGTGCCAGGGCGCCAATCAGAGAGCGGATGACTGCCACCCCCCCCTCGCGAGAGGGCCAATCGGCGAGCAGGCACCCGCCCACGCCTGCGAAGGAGCCAATGAGCGGGAGGTCGAGGACTCCTGGCCAATGAGACCGCGGTGCCTTGTTTAAATGATGGTACGGCGCGCACTGAGCTCCAGCACAGAGGAAGGGGCGGCCTGTGGTTGATTCCGTGCTGCAACCTGCGGCTTAGGAAATAAATTGATCGCCTTTGATGCTTTGCAGACGCTGCGATGCATGGAGGAGAGGGGATGGATTGATTGCCTTTCATGTTCTGCAAGGGAATGATCGATCGCTGTATGCAACCCACCACCCACGGCTGCATGCGCCCCGGAGTAGCTGCGTGCAACTTGTGAGCAAAGATGCCGGGGAACCATCGACCCCTTCGGAAATGCTGGGCCAGGCTGAGGGGCTGAGTAGGAAGTCAGCGCTACCTAAAGGGGAGGTTACTCCTGGGAGGTTGGAAAGATTGACACACCCCTGCTTGCCACACATAACCCGGCACAACTTCTGATCTGACATGCCTGCCCAGGGTTAACCGGTTTTGCTCTGTTAAGTTTAGTGGGCTGAACAGAGATAATGTAAAGAAAACAGGTTGGTTGGCTTGATTTTTGTTGTTTAGACAGGGTCTAACAATTATTGGGGCACACCGTCAGCCCAATTAACAGCCTTCGTAAGTTACCTGACAGCACTGTGACCCTTGTGTAAGTTAATTATAACGTATGGAGCCACTGATTTTTCCAACCAACTATGGGCAGCCGCTGCCTGCCATCTGGAGCTGTAACAGGTCTTAACGCGTTATTTAAATGTTTCCATCTGTTATTTGAAAAGTACCTTTGGGTACTGTAAAAACTTCATCAAATTGTTACCACTTTGGACACATGGAATTTGGGATAACTTAATCTGTGTCCCTAGGTTATGTTCACTCATATTTGACTTCTGCATTAACTCTCTGATAAAATGGGACCAAAAAACAAGGACACACTTTTGAGGAATTTTGATTTTCTGTCAGTGCAATTAATATGGAATTTTGCTTTTTTGTATCTTGTGTGGTTTACCAGCATTTTGCCACTATGCCAGAAAGTTTGACACTCCTGCTTGCCACGCATAACCAGACACAACTGGTAAACCGAGAAATTTCATATAAACCATACCTTCTTATCTGATACACCTGCCCAGAACTAATTGGCTTAACTTTTGTCTAGTTTACCGGGCTTAACAGGCATGTAAGTAAAACAGTTAATCATGTTGTTGAGTTGATTTTGCGTTTTAGACGGGGCCTTCCTTGCTCCGTAGTCATGAACAAATTGTGGGCCATTGAAGGCTGTAACAGAAATGGTGGCGAGTTTGTAAGGTCCGGGTAGTATCCTGTAGAGGCATTAACACTGACAGCAAGCATTGCTGGCTCCAAAAAGACAGGATGGATAGTTGCAAAAATGAACAGGAGAGGTTAAGGGTGCCCACTTTTAGTTTTATATAAGGTATCTTTCTTCACTAACAGTTTTGCTACACTTTAGATTTCTCCAAAAGCTTCAAACAAGTCACCATTAATACTTGCACTTCATATAAAACACTTAAAATGTAAGGTCTAGTGATTTATACATTTTAATTATATATGTATACATAAATATATAATGTTTTTTAAATAATATGTAATTTGTTAAAACTGTTAAGTTTCAAAAATGCCCCCAAGATACTTGGTATCCTGCTTGTACATGGTTTTCATTGCATAGGAGCATGCAGAATGCTGTTCCCATACTCTGAAAATGCAATTTGAAAAAGAACCTGCATATGCATTACTAGGACCAAAGAACTGTTTATTTTAAAAATCAAAATAACACAAAGAACAAATTCAGTGTGCAAGATGACACCTAATACTCACAAAGAACTGAAGTTTTGCTACAAAGACATTTACACTTAAGAAACACCAGACAAACAAAAATACCTGTTAAACTCAACAGTTAACATACAATGGGAAATAACGAATTTTCATACTTTAGATTTTCCTTTGTAATTTAAATCAGAAACCAAAAACCATGATTTGAAAACTGGAAACAATAGCATTCCCATTTTAATATACATCGCCCCTCCCTTAAACAGAACAGGTTTGACATCAGATAGAGCAACTAGAACACCCAGCTTGGGTAATGTTTGGCAGTCACTGTCACCAACTGTAATATAGTTTTACTTACAAGGAGAAGAATCTGATTGTTGAATGCAGGAAGTTCTATAATGATGCCATAGTACATTATTCTACGTTATGCAAGCAGGGTTATCAAACTGAGAGGCACAGTATGACAGTGAGGTGCATGCTCTTCTTTCAAGAGACCTTTCAATCTTCAGCAGAGACACAAGCATTGAAATTACTTGGCTTTACTTAAGAAACTGAAACTTTTTTCTTTTCTTTTTTTAAATAAAGGTTTCCATCTCTGAATAACATCCATTTTCCAAATAACATCCGTAGATTCTCTCTAAATAAATGGCTGCAGAGACTAACTGGTTGGGGGGGTTGGGGCTTTTCAAAGGACACAGACTTAAAAGACCAACATACAGCAAGTTAAAACATGAATAAGCAAAACATGAACACACCTTCCCTACCAAAAATCATCCCTCCTCTCACGCCCCACACAATTAATCCTACTGCTTTTATCATAGTGATCTGCTTCCAGAGAGGAAGTGCCCAAAGCAAGCTGTTGTTATCACAGGGTAAGTATCCCTCACTAAAAATTGTATACGCTTGAGAGGACACGAACCAAAAAGGGGCGGGGGGGGGGGCACACACAAGGGAAATGTGCAAAAAGAAATGAGTAATGAGTAGGATATGCAGAAACAACTGCTTCCTATAGGCTGTGTAGAAAATAATCCTCATCCATTATTCATGATAGTAGCAGGTCACATCACTCTACTTAAAAGGTTTGGAAACACTACTTAATCCTCATTAAATAATGCATCATCAGTCTTTTTTAAAATTTGGCACTAAATCTCAAGTTCTGTCTGTGTGGACTGGGACTTCTCACACCTTCAACCACCACGCTGAGTTCAGTGCAGAGTCCTGTGCTCAAGGCACCAAGTTACTTAAGAGCGAGCGCAATCAGAGACAGAAGAGAGCTACATGAGGGACAGACACACTGCTCCTTCTGCCAGAATCTTCTAAACATCTGGGCAGGCTGAGGAGGGACTCCGGTAACCTTAAAGGCCACAGTAGAAACTTTTAAAACATAGCATGTAAATTATAAAAACCAACGTTCACACTATCACTTAATGCCAATTTTTTCTAAGTTATTCGAGGACAATTTAAAAGGCTGTTGCCCAGCCAGCAGGCAACACAAACGTAAGACTCAGAACCAAAAAAAAAAGGTAAAACAAAACAAACAAGCCATTTATTTACCAGTACACTCTAGGGAGCTGAGACACAGCTACATATCTCTGAAATAGTACAAAGTATTCAATCCAGAAAAGATGGTCTAAAAGAACACTCTTTAAAAAAAAAAAAAAAAAACTAATGCTCAAAACCTCTCCTGTCGATATCTTAAGAGTGATATGGTAGGAACAACATTCAAGTTCTTAAGTATACCAGGTTACTTGTGTTTAATTAGGTTGCGAATGAGTGGAAAGCAATGGATGGTAGTTATTAGCCCTTAACACTGTATAGTCACTCTGTAAAGGTGTTTTTTTGACACTTTTAAGGTTGAGAGAAATTAGTGTATTTTTTTTAATGCCACCGTCACTTAAAAGGCAGTCACTTTATTAAAAAGCACCAGTTTAAAATGTTATTTTTATTCCTCTTTTCCCCAGCAGTAAAGATAGAGCTACATTAAAAGTCTGCAAACTTTACTACTTTCGTAGTTGCTTACAGGTGTCTTGCTGGCATGAGGAAAACCTATGGTTAAGTGGTATTTTAGGCAGCCAGAACCAAAGGAGTTCCATATATATATATAAAAATTACCTCAATTTTATCTTTAAAAAAAAAATCTAAGGCAGAAATTATTTTTATGATGTAGTGTAAAATATAAGATTATTATTCAATAGTGTTCATTTAAAAAAACTGCATCCAACTAAACAGAGAAACGATTATTCTAGTTTGTAACTGGCTGGTCAGTTGGACTGTTCCCAGAGTAGTTCTACTTATTTTATACATATAAACACAAACATTTAATACTTAAAAGCAGTATTCAAACTAACAATTTTTTTTTTTAAATCCATTATCCAAGGACTTACTTCAACTGTGCTTCTTTGGACAAAGATATAGTCAAACAACAAAGAATTTAAATTCTTTCAAACTGTCCAATACTTACTCAAAATCTTTGGTGCATTAAGTCAGAGACAGTTAATAAATTTATGTACTCAATAACTTATTCAATTTACAGATTAAGTGCTAACTATTACCTATCAAAAATTAATTTAAAACAATAAATTATGCTCACAAAACAAAATATTCACAATGAGGCTAAACTTAGTTTTGAGATTCAAAATTTTAAGCTTAGCTACGAAACAATGATTTTTAGAGTCGTAGCAAGGTGAACTAAGAAAGGGGCTCATTTTATAATTTTTGTGCCAACTACATTCAGTTTACCTGAATCCTTGTTCTTACATTTCCCATTATTGTGGTTTTCTGCCAGACTGAGTTAGGAGCAGGAAAGCATAATGCCGGCACATAGCATGCACTCATTAAAGCTACATGTCTCCTTATTCCATTTTTTTGCAGTATGTCACGAGAGTCAAAATGAGTCCTTTCTCTGTAACACAGAAATGCGTCATTCCCTTTCTGTTTAAGAACTGTTCACAAGGCTCAAATGGGATGGCATGTGAAAGTGTTGTAGTTAATACAGTACTCCAGCTCATCTACAGTAAGTAATAACTAAGTACAATTATACAACTGCATCTCACTTTACATAACAGCTATATTCTCGAAAAGTCCTATGTAAACCAATTCCTAAAGTTAAATCATATAGTTAAAGTATTGGCGTATCATTAGTAAAAGAACCTTAAACGCCTTCAAAACCCAGGTATTATTTTCACTGTGAAAATGTTGTACCCTCCTTCTCTGCCAAAATATACAATGAATCATGTATATAACACACATATATACCACTTGCCTTTTCTGATAAACCCAATTTTTCAACCTCAGCTTATCTCTAAGGCAAAGTATATTTATTGATTTGATGTTTTGATTTCAGTAAGACATTTAGTTAAAAATCTTATCTGCCTTCATGATAAAAATTATAAATCTGTATTTCTGACACTTGATTTGAAAAATCTAGGACTCTCATAGTTCCTCAGAGTCCAGCCTCATCATGAGTCCCCATAGAACATTTCCACACTAAGTAAATAAGAATGTTTTCACAATAAGAAATAATATAAAAGTAAGTCTACTAGTCTGAAGACAATTACAACCGAACTTTCGTAAGTGAGGCAAACTCAGGTTACCTTCATTATCTATCAGCTACTTTGGTTAATGCCTCAACTTGCAACATGCTCTTTGAACACTAATATGGCAACTGTTCCTATAAAGTACCTTCATTTCTTAAGTGCTTACACAGTTTCCACCTTATGGATTACATTTTATTCACTAAAACTTCATTATTTTATTGTGATATGTTTTCCAAACCCACAAGGGCTAGCTAGGCAAGACTTTACAGTTTACACACAAAAAAGTGCTAAAAGCAATTGGGAGTGTAAACAAATCAAAATAAAAAATTTTAAAAACTGCTAATTTTTCCAGTAGTTTACAAATTGCATGATTGCAGTCAAGTCAACTCTGCCTGATCTAACCCTCAAGCAACCCTACCAGGAAAACCTAATCCTGGGTTAAGTGGAAATTGGGCTGAGTAATAATAATAATTAAAAAAAAAATGCAAAGTGCACATCGTTAAAGATATTTTATAGTTTTGGCAGGCCTTTTTCACTTAAATTTAATTAGTGAAGCGTTTCTGTGACTGCTATTGTCTTTCACAAAGCTTTCAACAATTGCCTCATCCAAAGACAAGAATGGAGAACAGAGACGTCTCATAAGGAAGCAAGATTAAAGATCTGGTTCGAGTGTAAATCTGTACACAGGTAGCAGTACACTTGGCTGAAAAACTAACTGTAGTAAATCAGAGCAAATTTGAGAATGCGTCTGGCACCTTTTCTGACGATTATACACGAAATATCTAGGTTCCGTTTCGCTCTTTCAGCCAGCTGGATTTTATAAATGAAACACTAAAGTCATTACTTAATTAAACTGCCATCAATTTAGTTACGGTTGTCGCTTCACTACTCTCGTCTAGATGCAGAAACGAGACTGTGAATGTGGAAAGCATAAGCAAATACAAAATGTGCACAAAAGTGTCTTGATGGCATCTGGGTAAAACTGTCACATTTCCCATTAAGATACACTCAATTAGATAATCTGACGCCTGCATCTTTTTGTACTTATTATTATTCATCATAGTTGGGTGCAGGCCCAATTATCTGGGTTAAAATAACAATCTTACATTTTATTTAGCATCCTAATCTTATAGTTGTTAGCTTTTAGCTTTCGGTTTGTGAAAACCCCAAATATAATGACAAAAATAATGGAAGAGAGATGATGGACATAGACGTATCCAGGTTTTCTTACATAAAACTATGTAAGAAATTTGAAATCTCAACTTTGAAAATTTGAATGAAGTGATGGTATTTAATCAGTATTGAAAATTTGCAATTTTTGACATACGCTTACATTCCCTCCTATAGGCTACATGGTTCTTAAAACCTCATAGCAATATGGTAAGGGACAAAAGACATGACTGAAAGTAAACTTTGGCTTGGGGCTCACACCTAGTCGGCTAAAGCAGAAAGATTGCCACAAATACAGGCCATCGTGGGCTACAGTCTAAGACCCTGTCTCAAAAACACAAAAAAAACAAAAAAACAAAAAAAAAAAAACAAAAAAAAAAAGGAAAGGAATAAAAAACTTCCATTGATGATTTAAAAAAATACCTCTACCATTGTCAGCAGCTACTAATCTGAAATTTTATAATCCATTCAAAATTAGTACTAAATAATCTTTTTTAAAAAAATCATACTTCAAATATTATGTCAAAAATGTGTCCAAGTATTCACTCAATAGAAATAAACTTTACTTGATTTGAGGCTGTTTTGAAGACTTGAGAAATTAGAAGAAAAAAAAAAAAAAATGGGGAAAGAAAAAAATAGCAGCCCTACTAATTGAAAAGCCAGTAAGTAGCTTCAGGCTGTCAGCATACAAGCATCAAAAGGTCTATGGAATGTTTACTCATGAGCGATGCTCACTGCTGGACATATTCTGGACAGTAGTTGTGCTATCAAGGCCCAATAATGTTCCGAGGTAAGATGGCTCTCTAGGATCTAGCATCTGCTCAGGTCGCACTGGGTGAACAATGTTTGCAGGCTGAGGAGTGAGAGTGTATTTCTCCAGAAAAGCTAAATCCGCTGCCCTTGGGTAATCAGTGGGCTGAGGCTGTGGCGGCAGCATCTCATGGGATGACGGGGTTAGTGTGGTGGTGTGAGGCACCAGATCGCTGGATGTGTCAGGCATCTGAACTGGAACCAATGTTACTGGAACACATACTTCTGCAGACACATTCTGTAGCAGAGTCTTGGCTTCCGGCTGATGATAAACTTTGGGCTGGTCCAGATACTGTTTCGTTTCTGCCTGAAAGATCTTATCATCAGACGAGTACTCTATAGTTGGCAAAGAGGCCAGTTTTTCCTCGGAAGTACTGAGAGAATCATCAGGAGATTTTATCCCATGAACATGATCAATGTGGTATTTCAGCTTGTCTTTCCGCTTAAATGTTGCATTGCAGTGTTGACAGTTGAAAGGTCGGGCATCAGAGTGAATAACCAGGTGTTTTGTCAAAGTTTTCTTAATTCTAAAAGACTGGTTGCAAATTTGACACTTATATGGTTTTTCACCTGTATAAACAAAAATAAAATTAATGTATAATGTACCTATTTGATAAGATGGTAATTTAAGTAGCAAATTTATCACACAAAAACCTGTAATAGCTTAGTTTAAAAAAAAAACCAGTAGTAATTTTATGCTATTACAAATGAAGACAGCCTATCTAACTCATAAAGATAATGATTAAACATCAAAATGATCTGGGTTTATGTCCTGAATAAACCATTTAGTAGTCAAACTCTTAAGCCTGTTTCCCTAACCAACAATGCTGTACCTAAATAAGGAAGTAAATACTTAGCCCTATTCTCAGTGTGTCGTTAAGTACTTAATAAACCTCATTATTGCTATTACTTTATTACTGGTTTGTTAAACTGAAACATTTGATTTCCTTCTACCTACAAAAGCCAAAAGAGCAAAAACTCTGACTAACTTGAGCTGTTTTGGGGGAGTAGCGGGTGGCGGTGTTGAACAAAAAGTAGTAACACTGGTCTCTAGCAAGAGATCAAAATTTACACTGGGGAAAAGAATTAAGAATGCTATTCTCTACAGAAAACAATTTCCCAAATTCTTGAAATTAAGAAGCAGAGACACTGCGTATTCACGACATGAATTTTAATAAAAAATATGTAAAATACTAAGTCAAGTATTATTAAATAACTACCCAAAGGTCTACATATGGCACCCTTAAATTTTACCTGAATGTGTCCGAAAATGCATTTCCAGACTTGATTTTCCTTTAAAAATCTTCTTACAAACATCACATTGATGAAATGTTGCTTTATATCTAAGAAAGTAAATAGTTCATCTATATAACCTTAATCGATAATAACAAATAATTGAAAACTCTACAACTGTACAGACAAATGTCTCATCAATGAAACACTAAGCCTGGGGGGGGGGATCAGGAGCACTGTTAAATCCAGAGCTAGCCTCAAGGGGCTTTCTCCAGTTATATTAATAGCAGAATACTTTGAGACACTTGTAAGAGTACAACTTCAAAATGTCTGAAATCAACCCAGCTTCTAATGAATTATCAAATACACAAAGGAATGCAGAGGACATCTGTGGATTAAGTAGCATTTAAATGAAAAGTCTACGCCTCCCCCCCACCCCGAGGCTGCAACAGTAGTAGAGGGAAGCCGCTTTTGCACTCACTCACTTTTGCCACACCTTCTCTCCCAGATGAACGCTCTTGTAGTGAACCGTGAGGTGATCCCTCCGGCCAAAACACTTCCCACACTCGTCACACTGATGAGCCTTCTCACCTGGGAATGAGGCCACACTTCCCTTTAACATCATTTGATGGGACTCCAGGAAAACAAAGCCACCCTTCAATCTGGGTTATTTCTTTTACATCACTTATTCAGTTGTCTTTAACAAGAAAACCCATGTTTGAGTTCATGAATGTAGATGTTTCCACTCACATGGAGAAATTAGTAAATTACCTTTCAATGTAGCAGAACAAGATAAATAAAAGTACTTCAAACCCAAGATACTCACAAGAAATATGGATCTAGATATGAAATACCTCAAATGAACATAATCAAAATCAGATGAGCTAGTTCACTACTTAGAAAATTCACATGAACATTTTCAGATCTTGTATTTTAAAAATATTTTTTTTTATCTATAGGGATCTCTTACATTCGCAATGAGCCAAAATACAATTACAATATTACACTCTCTACCATGTTTCTTAAACAGTTCTGGAAAGAGCAACACAAAATAAAACTTACCTGAGTGTATTTTTTTGTGCTTTGTCAGGTGGTCATGGCGAATAAATGTTTTTCCGCATTCATCACACTCGTATCTTTTATCATCATGATGTACTCTTAAGTGCAGCCTACAAAGACGACAGAGCAAAGGCTGTTGAAACTGGCATGGAATGAAGATGCTTGGAAATGAATAAATAATGAAAAAGAATGGGAATAGGCTTCTGCTCGAGCACCTTCATCCATCATTTGCTCAGCAAGTATCACTTCCAGAGTGCGTCTCCATCTTTTAAACAAAAAACTCAGGGTTCCTATCCACCTCCTCCCCCAAAAAAAGAGCACTTTGAAATTTGCATGTCTCTTACAGTTCTAGATACTTCCTAAGTTCCTGGATATTAAATCTACCCCACAAACTCTACCAAACATTTGGGGGTGTTACTGATCTGACTCTCCAGGATCTATGTCTGGAATTAGAACTGGACAAATCATTAGCACACGAAAACTCCCTGACAGTGACAGCTACTGATGGTAATAATAACTGATGACTACACTACTCTGGAAAACTGATACTACATATAAATTGACAGCTGATGAATCACAATATTTTTAAAAAGACATCAGGCTTATAAAAATTACATTTTTTTTACTACTACACACTAAAAAATAAATGGTACTTTAAAGACAATAAAAGGTTTAGATTACTGAAATTTGCCTAGTTTGAACCACTTTTACTCCTCAGTGTTCTTCTCTGTGTACCAAAGTGAAACGAACAGCTTTCACATTAACTAAAATAGTCAAATGACTAGACTACACCTAAAGAGAAAATAATCTCTTCACAGTTAAAGAGGTAACAAATGAAACTATGACTACTAAAGCCATAAGATGACAACCCCAGAATAAACTAAAAAAGACTAAAATCATACATATTTTATAGTAGGTACTTTCCTATTTAGGGGGAAATTCAGAACCTTCAGTATGGTCACTCAGACAGAAAACAATTAAACAAGTAACAATGGACAACTGGACAGAAGACCATCTAAAACTGAGAATCCCAGAGTCCTTATTTCCATGCTGAATATATTCTTCTACAATGAAGTGTGAAGAAATCAACACTTGGAACACCAGAATTTTAATACTGTTTTTACCCAAAGATAAATAAAAAAGCATTTAAATAATGACAGTTTATAACGACTTTGATAACGCGGGCAATGAGGAAATCAGAGAATAGAGATAATTAAAGTTGCAGGAAAAGCCAGTAAAGTTCTCTCCTAGCTGCACACCCTAAGTCTAAGAAAGGCTTTAACTGAACAAAGCGCCTACAATGTGTTAAAGCAGACCTGTAACTTTGTATCATGTCATACAGGGAAAGGTAACTCACCTGTATGAGCTTCCATGACGGAAACTTTGCCCGCAGATACTGCAGAGATGAGGCTTTTCTCCACTGTGTATTCGCAGGTGTTCTTTCAAGGTAGTTCTATGTTTAAAAATGTTTTAAAATTATATACATATACATTATATATATATACACACACACATACGTACATTATATATATATGTACATACATATATCCCAGTTCTTAATTTTATCATATTTTCTGATATAGATACACAGATATTTCTTTTAATGCCAGTGTACATACTAATTGCAGATTTCAAACCCCTTGTTAGAACACAGACCTACAGTTTAACCATTACTTCAGCAAGCGCTTTGCCAGAGTACCCGTAGTTCTAACTTTAGAATTTTCCTGCACACTCGAAGGGCTGAATAAGGACGGACAAAGTTTTAAGGGAGACGGAAGTAAAAGGAAGGAAGAGTTCCTGACTTCCGCTGGCTTTTCCAACCACTCTGACTTGGTTTTCATGTCAATCCCCTCAGCTGGCTTGAAAAAGCAGAACGCGAGCTGAAGCTCTGCCAGCAGATGGCGCTGTCTACAAAACCCACCACCAAGTGTTAAAATCAGGAGAGGAGGCCCAGTTCTGTGGGGAATACAATACCCCTGCAGATATTCCTAAACTACAGGTAAGAGCAGCTACAGTAAACAGTGTTATCTTTCTTTGTTTTGTTCTGCTTTTCTCTCATGGCTCATTTGTTTTCTAGTTTTTATATGGAGTTCTGTAAGGGAGAAATAAATTTATAGCTCACATAAATTTATAATCTTCTAATCTATAAATATGATTTAATATTAAGTGGCATAATGACTTTACAACTCTCCTACCATATTCATAGTTTACATTATGAAATTGGCACTCTAATTCTAATCGAAGGCCATGAAGCTTAAGTATACTGAAGTTCTTAATTTTTGCATAGTGTTTCACAATGTCACCCAAGCTCATGACAAATTTATAAGCATCCTGCTTGGCCTTACTAGTAATGGGATTACAGACATGTGTTACTAAACTTGGCCTCAAGAATACACAAAATTTAGATCTGCTTTTCAAGGACAGCACTAGACACGCTCAGGTTAGGAACTGGAACATTACCATACTATCAAATGCCTCACTCATCTTATTCTCCTCTCTCTTGGGAAATAATCACACACACACACACACACACACACACACACACACACACACCATGCCTTTCTGTTTTACTTCTCACACAGACACCTTATTATACAAGATAGCAAGCATATGCTTTTGAAAGTCTGAGTTACTAGTCCTAACAATAATGCCACTACTATTAGATCACCAAAGGATCCAAAAGATAATATGAACAGGGTCTGTGGATGGAATCCATCTGCAGATTGTCCAAGGGTTCCCAAGGCCACCCTGACATGCCAGTAGATGAAGTAACAAATAAATACAATGTAGAAAATCAGCCATTTAAACCTGCAAATCCGGCTTTCTGTTCCTCTTCTGTAATTTCTGTCTTTCACATTTTAAACTAAAGCGGTGGTGATCCAAGTACCTCGCACCCTGAGTCATCTACTTCCTGTACCCTTATTAACAATGTGTAACGTGTAATCCCTTCCACTTTTCTGAATGGGCAGATAACCATACCTTTCTCGTACGGACTTCCCACAAATGAAGCAAGTCCACTTTCTTTTTCCTCCATGAGTACATTCTATGTGACGTTTCAAGTTCCCAGTGTCATTGAACTGGCGACCACATATGTCACATGGAAAGGGACCTAAAATAACAATGCAGAAAAGAAAAACAGGGTGTATTTGAAGTTCGAGAGATACTATGTTAAATTCAACAGAGATACCACAAATGTGTCCCTGCCACCCTCAGGAACACAGGCAGAATCTGTGATATACTCAAATCATCTGTTTATATTCTCTTCCCTTCTAGGTCGTTCATTCCTGAAGGGCATTTCTAGACCATAGGCCAAAGTACAAGGTTTTTTTGTTTGTTTGTTTTTAAAGAAAGTTTTTTTTAAAAAAAATAATTCATTGTAGTTTATTTTATAAGCATTGGTGTGAAGGTGTCAGATTACCTGGGACTGGAGTTACAGACAGCTGTGAGCTGCCGTGTGGGTGCTGGGACTAAACCCGGGTCCTCTGGAAGGGCAGTCATGCTCTTACCTGCTGAGCCATCTCTCCAGCCCCCAAGTGCATGTGGCTTTATATCCAAAAAGTAAACGTAAGTACTGATAAACTAGTGTGTTCACACATTTAAATGGCTAGTTTCTAGTTTCAAAATAGACTGAAACAAAGTAAGAAATACACTATACGCACAATGTGTATGAAAAGAAGCAATGGGAACTTTTGAAAGCGTAAAGGACGGACAGTTCATGACTGGGAAATAACCTGGCACTCAAACACAGCAACTCGTCAGTGACACTGAGGAAGCTGGAAACCACTGTGCCACACTTCTGTCCACTCTTGCAAAATTAAACCCATACTTGTCACAGTGACATACTGACCTTGCCTGGTCCTGAATGCTACCAAATAAGTAACTAGAGACCGTAAGTTCTACAGAAGGAGGAGGGGGGTGGAGAGGAAGAAGGAGAAACATGTTGCAAAGACACACAGCAGATACAGAGCAAGGAAACCATATATTTGCAAGATGGTGTCTCAGAATTTGCAATAATAAATCGAAGTAGAAATTATACTAAATTAATACAGCACACATATATTCATAGTTATTCCTAAAATAAACTATAAAAATAATTTTCCCACATGTAACACATAATCATGATGTCTCCAACTTAAATCTTTAATAAATTTAATAGTTTCCATGATGATTTTTTAGAATTTCTAAGGTTGAACTTAGTCAAAAATCACTTGGAAAGGATTAAACTAAAAAATGCATGTACTTTATCCACTGGCAATAAGTAGCTTTCTATATTATAATCACAAAAATCACATATGCCTTGAAACACAACACAGCCTTGAAGCTATCTAAAAACAGACATATTCTTTTATCGAGGCACAATGTTGAAGGCCCTCTAACATTTTTAAGTGACATACTTTTAAAACACTGTTTTATTAAAAAAAAAAACACCCCACAAAACAAAAATGAAAACAAAACAAGCTATTCATTTCTATATTTGTCAATATCCATTTTAAATATACTACCCAGATAGTAATACAATTTTTCAGATCAATTCAAAATTAGAACACTACTTTAATTCTGAAAAATATACACTATTGATAAAGCTTAGATCTACATTGGTTTCTATCAGCTCATCACTTGCTCACACCATGCCTCCATCTAATAAGACTCTGGTACTAAGCCCATCCACAAGAAAAGGTGTTTGGATCACGGACTGAGTCATAATCAAACAGTCCGAGAACGAAAGGCTACCACTCTGCATTTATGCTAATTTCAAATTTCTTTGTCTTGAACTATTGTATGACCTATACTTTTTTGAAAGAAATGCATATTTTAATCTCTGATATATGAAATATCCTTGCCAGCTTCGTGCCATCTATAAAGCTATCTGCCCACATTATTCTTAATTATTGTGAATTATTACTCAAGCTGTCAATAAAAGCAATACGACTGAAAGACCTTCCATTTGGGATGGAAGTAAATAATTATGAGGATTAACTTTTATAAAATTACCAAGTCATACTTTCAGATTTAAAAATCCAGGTTTCCATCGTGACCGTAAGCTTTAGGGGGGGAAACTCTTCACATAACACTTTATTCCAAATATGGTAAGTTTATTCATTCAGGAAAAGCTTCTATAAAACCAAATGCCCTGTTTCAAGCACTTAACGAGATCTATCCAATGATCAACGTGAATTGTTTGTATCCTATGATACTTTTGCTATTCAAAACAAAACCAAGCCATATTCGCTGATCTGTAGGAACTGTAACATATGTATCATCACTCCAAACTAAAAAGGCTCAACAATATTAGGAGAGATATAAAGATGAGTAAAACAAACAACGATAAAAATGGGAAAACGCTAATGAAAGTAAACTGCATAAAATGGCTGATGCCTTATGTACATAAGCAGGGAGATTCAAGAACACCAGAACTTCTGATTTGATAAAGCAGGATTAATGATATTCCAGTCATTCCTGATAAACTATTTGGGGGATATTATCAATGAATTGGATTTGTTTTTTCTTTAAGACACGTCTCCCCAAGTAGGCAAGATTGGCTTAGAGTCACCAATGTAGCCTACACTGCTGCAAAAATCATGCTGGTCCTCTTGTCTCATGCAACTTAGGCATGTGTGGTGATGTGCTATTTGTGATTTAATTAAAGCTTGGCTGAAGATCACAGAAGCAAAGCAGCCAAGCCAGTAGATCTTACCTCTACCCAGCAAAAGCTCTCAGTCCCTGTCTCCTCCTCCTCCTTATATTCCTGTCTCTGCCCAACCGTACCCTCCTGTCTCCACCTCCCTAGTGCTGGGATCAAAGGCGTGAGCTCTGTTACTCTACACTCCTGTGTAGACCAGGGTGGCCTAAAACTCAGAGAAATCCATCTGCCTGTCTCCTGAGCCTGGGGTTAAAGGTGAGTAGCACCTCTGCCTGGCTAGCTAATATGGCTGCTGGGAATAAAGGTGTGGATCACCACTGCCTGACCTCTATAGCTTGTGGCTGGCTTTGCTTTCGGAATCCTCAGGCAAACGTTAATAAATCTTAAATAATATATCACCACAATTCCCCTTTTTGTCTAATACAATTTTTTTTTTTTTTTTTTTTTTTTTTGGTCTAATGCAAGGAGACAGGTTTGCCATGTCTGCTTGGCAGAGGTAAGATCTAATGGCTTGGCTGCTTTGCTTCTGTGATCTTCAGCCAAGCTTTAATAACCCATAAATAATATATCACCACAGGCATGAGTCACAAAGTCCAGCCTGAAAAGCGGATTCTTTATAGAGATAAGAAATCCAGAATGGACAACATAACACTGAAGTCAAAAACAAAGTTAGAAGGCCAGCTGTACCAGACTTCAAACCTTATTATGAAGCTGTGATAATACAGACAGTATGCAGAACAACAAACAGATTCACACAATCATGAAGCGAATTAACAAACAGTAGTGAAGGCCACACAATGGACTTAAAAAAACAAAAAAGAAATTGGTGCTGATAACCGTGTATGCAAGAGACAGAGACTTCACATATCCACACACAGACCTCTACGAATTGTGTCCTTCCCAAAAAATGAACTCAAAATGGCTCACCAACCTAAATAAAAAACTATAAAACGCATACAAACAGTGTAGGAAAAATCTAGGTGGCTCTGGGTTTGACAATATTTAGATATAACATTCATGAAAGTGGAATTTATTTCTATGGCAAAACCTTGTAAATGTAACAAATGACAAGCCAGACTGGGAAGAAAGTAACAGGGTAGTATAAAATACGTAAAGCATTCTAAACAGATCGGAGAGTAGGCTAGGTGGTTAAGAGCACATACTACTCTTCCAGAGGGCCCCTTAGGTTCCCAACAAGCATGCTGGATAATTTTCAACCACTCCAAGCTATCCAACGCTCCATCAACCTTTCGTGGGTACACACAGGATGAAAACATAAACATACCATTAAAATATTCAAAATAAATCCTTAAAACAATAAGGAAAATCTCGAGCCAGAGAGCTATTTCAGCAGGTAAAGGTGCTTGCCACTAAATACGATGGCTTGAGTTCCATCCTTGAGACCCACATAGTGGAAAGAAATGCCAACTCCTACAAGTTGTCCCAAAACCTCACCATAGGCCTAAACAGGACCATGTGACACACAGCTACAAATACTAAGGATTTTTAAAAGGAATTCTCAAAGCTCAACAATAAAAACCAAACAACCACATTAAACAAAGCTGAAGACTCAACAGACAGAGCATCAAAGACAAGTGAAAAGATGTCCCACATGTCCAAGTCCAAGTGAAACGATGGCACAGTAAGCAATTGTGCTGGCGGCTCAGATACAGAGTTCCCACAATACTAACTATGCTAAAGTCCGACAATGCTAAAGTAACAGGGGTTCTAATCCAGTCTCAGCGGGGATTCAAAATGGTACGACCATTTTGGAAGACAATATGCAATTTCTAAGGAACTGAAATTATTCTGACAATCCAATAGACCTTTTCTTTCTGTTCTTAGATTTTTATCCAAGCAAACTTCAAATTTATGCCCACAACAGAATCTGCAAGCAGACAACTAAAGCCATTTCATAATTAGTCACCAACCCTTGGACGTTCCTCATTTTTAGAGTGTACCAAGCGGTGGGGATGCATGACACTGTACAGCAGGAGGCTGGCGATACAGTAACCACCTGCACCTTCTCAATTTTCTTGTGAACTTAAAATTACTCTTAAACAAAATAGATTTTTTTTTTTCAAGATAATCACTTCTTTTCCCCCTTCTCTTTACTCCCTTCAAACAGCAGAGATTTTCAAGAGGAAAAAGTACAGTTTAACAGTGGTGAACTCTTCCAGGTTCAGATAATCAGTAACTAGATGTCTGCTTTACGAAAACATAACTCACCCAGATGGAACTTCTCCTGATGCTTTAACCGTGCAAACCGGGATTTGAAATGCTCTTCGCAATAGGTACACTTGAAAGGTTTATCTTGCGAATGCAGAATCATGTGCTCCTCCAAGTGTGGTCTTCGAGTAAAAGATTTCTTACAAATCTAAATGAAAGTGTGCATAAAACATAACTACCTTAATTTGAGCCCAAATTAAAATACAACGTTAATAATAAAGAGAAAACATATAAACTCAAGTACAGAGAAACATCTTCCAACAGAAAATTTATCAAAGAATTGTCAATTTTCTACCTGTCCTAAAAAAAGGGGGGGGGGGTATAAGAAACACTAGAATTATAGTTCAGAATAATGTTAAATTAACACTAACGTTAGATAAATTTCCACTCATTCTATGTTTAACACCGCTAAAACATAATCTTAGCATCTTAACCCTACGTAGCAATTTCTTATCAAAAACAGATTTATTTATTCACGTCAGTGTTTTGCATACATATACATATATGCATCACATGTGTGCCTGGGCCCATGGAGGCAGACCAGGGCCCTGGATCCCGTGGACCTGGTTTATGAATGATTGTGAACAGGAACAGAATCTGCACCCTTTGCAACCAATGCTCTTGCAACCGAGGAGCCGCCTCTCCACCTATGGTATCAACTTCTTAATCCACAGAATAAAACCAAACTTATGTCAGAAATAAAAAAGATTCTATCATTATTACCATATACTTTAGGACTATCAATAATTAAACTACAGAAAACCCAACTTTTATCTTCAAATTTTCAGAAATAAGGTATATAAAAATATGATATATGGCTGGGCGTGGTGGTGCACACCTTTAATGCCAGCACTCTGGAGCCAGAGGCAGGCAGATCTCAAGTGCAGCCTGGTCTAAGAGTGAGTTCCAGGGAAGCCAGGTCTGCAAAAGGAACCCAGTCTTGAGAAATCAAAATTTAAAAACAAAACAGTATACAAGTCAGGGATTTGAAGGGAGTGAAGCTCTGCAGCAACAGGCAGCTATACCGAATAGGCACAGTTCCACAGTTATTGTTTAATGCTCAAAAAAACGTTACAGAGCAGAGACACTATCAACAGCTTCATTTTAGAGTTGAGGACAACAAAACCTAATAAAATGAAGGAGACATTATCTTGTGTAAAGCTAAAAAAAAAAAAAAAAAAAATTAACTTCAATTTTTTAAAGCTGCAGTCAAAAAACTAGGGACAGACGATTCTAGAAGTGTGTGATATATGTAAGTTAATCTTTAGAATAGCAATGTAAATGACAACACGCAAAATTAAATACTAAAAATCCTTAGGGATGTGACAGAATAAACAAATTCTTTGCTACTACTCCCACTGAATTCCTTCCTCCCCCCCTCCACCCTGTTCTAGAACTGAGAGTTTAACCAACAGTATGTGGTTATGGTCTGAAGCACCTCTCTCTCTCAACCTAGCTGCTATACTAGAAACAAAGCCACCTTCAGGGACAGCGAGAAGGAGCCTCCTGTCCCCTGATCCATCCTTATTAACCCCGGCCATCAGGTATCACCAAGTTGACTGCTATATTAGAAAGTTGTTGCGAAAGTGTCTCAAAACCAGAAAAGATCACCCAGTAATTTCTCACAACTGAGTTGTTTTGATTGACAGCGTAGAAACAAAGAAATGTCTAGCAAAGCCTTGCCCAGTTTGGATCCCTGACCCACAAAAAGTGAGAAACAGTAAGATAGCAGTTTAAGGACCCCTGAGCGTCAACACGGTTTATTACACAGCAAAAGACAACCAGGAACGGAGGGGTAATTGTATCATGTTATACTCTGCCACAGTAATGTTAGAGATCACACACAACTCTAGATACAAAGCATAGTGATTTTGTTAATTGAATGCAGGGGGCAGATCCCAGGGATAAGAACCAAAAAACAGGATCTCCATTTATTATCTGAAAACTTTGATGTTTGCAGAATAAATTTAAAAAAAAAAAAATTCAAATAACTTTTTTTAAAAGATTCTAAAAGCGAGATAAGCTCTATTACTTTAAACCTAATTACCTTTGTTTCCCAAAAAACAACATTACATTTACTTTGATTTTCTAACAGAAATTAACAAATCCTTACATCACATTTCCAACTTTCGCTTTTAGTCTTCTTGATGGAAATAAATTCTTGTGCATTTTCAGGATGAAATCTATCAAAAGAAAGAGAGAGAGTATGTGATGAAAATCATGCTAGTTAAGTCTGTACTTCATATGAGTTCTCAACAGTAATTTCAAGAATCAGATGTTACACTCAGGAAGCTGAGGCAGGAAAATCAGTGAGCAGCCAGCCACCTTATCCCCATTGGGTCCTGATTTCTGTTATAAACACAGGGACGTGTACTAAGAATATAGGTGCCACCATTTTAAAGATTTTATGCATTTATTTAAGTTACACCGAAATTAAGAAAAGTATATTTTAGTGAACTCTTAGACAAAATCTGCACGTGCGCAGACACTTTAAATTTTTACACACTCGTCAAAACCAAATGTAAACAAAGGGAAAAAGGATAATCAAACTGACCTTACAGTTACATTATGGGCACTGCTGCAAGGCTTCATATCTCAACAATGGGGGAAGGAAAAAATATATATATACATACATACATATATATGAGCGAACTCACGCCCGCCGCTGTTTTGGTCTGCAAACTCTACAAAGCCATGAGGCAATGACAGGGAACAAGGCAGCACTTGCCTCTTGGCGTGCTTGGCGAGCGTCTTCTTGCTGGCGTGAAGCTTACTGCAGTAAGGACACTTGTGCTCCTTCTTGTGGGGCTCTGCGTCGGTGCTGTGCTTCTTTCTGTGAACAGTTAAGTTAGACTTGGTCGAGTAACGCTGGTGACAAACATCACACTCAAAAGGCTTCTCACCTGTGTGCACACGGGTGTGGCTCTCATATTTCCCTACAACGAAGAAGAGAGTTAAGTTCAACAGACCTGCTGTGCTGGGACCGAAATCTCAGAGCAGAACGAAAAACGCGCGGGGTTTCATAAAGTTAACGTATACACCCAAATTCGCACAGGGAGCTAAAAGGAAAAATATTCATCTTAAGTTTCTAACTCAGAGGAAATGAGTTGCGTGATTTCTTTCTTTTTTTTTTTTTTTAATTTGCAAGGTTTTTATAACAAAATTTAAATAAAATTTAAAAGGGGAAAATAGCAAAATGAATGTAATGATGTCCTATAGCATTATGGGTCACAGAAACGAAAAAACTTGTTGCAAACTTCAAAAGTTCATGCACACCCATACATAGTACAGAGTCCATTGTTTCCGCGGAGTTGAAATTCTGAACAAGAGCGACAGACAAGGCTGAGAAAAAGCTCGACTCAGAAGACACATGGGTCTCCAGAGACTTACGAAGAAAAACAAAATGTAACCCCCACCCCAAGAAATCTCACGTCTAAAGCAACCTACAGGGGTGTGAAAGGACACTCCTGGGCAGAAACGATCATCTGCAGTCTACATTCCTCCCTTCATGTCCTGTGAAAGAGGCCCCAATAACAATGTGGAAAATCAGCGTGTTCTCTTCAAACTTACCAGTCTCCACTTAAAAACTGGAGAGCATCATACAGTGAAAACTGTGTACACAGTGCTTTCCTGGACAAAAATCTCAATATGGACTACCTCAAAGTACGAGTCACAAACTAAAGATGTTTTCGCATGAATAAGTTTGTCTTGATGCGTTTCAAAATTTACTCCCTGATACGGCTCAGGCAAAGTTGCTACTTTCAGATTTTACACGCAGTTTTCGCGAGAAGCATCACCGCATTGCCCGCTATGTACATAGTTCATAGCTGACACAGCTACTCTCAATTGCATCTAGTCATACAGCAGACTGCAACGTAACAAGCACACAAACAAAACAGTTAGCTACAGAGAATTACACCACTGGTAACAATTCTCAAGAACCAAGCAGAATCCCTATCCAAATAGACCAAGTGAACTCACGTTTAATAGAGGGAGAGGGGACACAAAATATTTTTTGTCTCTAGAAGAGATTGTGATTTACTCCAAGCAAAGATTTTAGTTCTGTGGAGGGAACAAAAAACTATAAATTATCCAAATTTTCTCTCTTACCCCATCTGTCATCTTTCTACTTTGCTTTTTACCCAGTAGGTTTTTGGTATAAGGGGCAGCAAGGTCAAAGAACTCTTATTTACATGAGAATTGGATGAGAAACGGACAGCTGGTAGCCTCTGGAAAGATGTAACTACATCAGGAGTGTTACTTGCAGCGCCACATAATGGGATCAAATCTTTCAGTTATGTATTATGCAGCTAATGGGTCCAGCATAAACCTCAGAGCTCATCCCTTGCTTTCCTAAGCACACTTCACAGCAGCCAAGCAAGATGATAAGACAGCTAAACAGGGTCTGTGCAAGCCAATGGGAAAGTAGATAGCACCCTTTAGACTTAGTTCAAGTCAGTAAGTGCTTACTGGCCCATGGTACCGACCTGGAATATCCATCCAAAGCACACTACCCAAGCACAAAGTATATAAGCTTCAGCCTCAGTGCAGTCAGACTAGCAGAATGACAATCAAAACATTCTAGTACCTAGTAATCACTAATACCGGCGTCTTTAGTACAGAGTCTCAGGATTGGGAAATGATTTATCAACGTTCTAACTCACAAACCTCGTTTTTGGTTCTAATGGAACCTAAAAATATCAGGCATAAAATCCTGTAAAAAGGGATGAGCGTGAGATGAGAAAAATGACTGACAGACAGCCGTAGAATCGTTTATAGAAACACTCCTCCATATTCCCTTTACATTCTACCTGTCACCAATCCTGCTCCGTCAACAACGCTGTTCGGCTCTCACCCGACCTTCTGATTCCAAGGAGCTTTATTTACACTTCTGCCTCTTTGCTATGTGCCCCTTTGTGCCTCCTTGGCTTCCTCATTCCCTTGCCCAATTTCCGTCCTCACAATGAAGCCAGTATGCAGTATGATCTGGCTGTAACTCATGGGCTGTCATTCCCTCTGTATAGGATTCAAGCCACTCCAGAGCTGGCTTTCCTCCTTTACTTGCCTACTCTTAGTCACCGTCGTTTTTTTTTTTTTTTTGTTTGTTTGTTTTTGTTTTCTTCTTCTTCTTCTGTGCCTCTTTACTTACCTGAAAGACACCCACACCTTAGCAATTTCTAGAACGTCCCATGCCTCAATGCCTTGGCACACTGATCCTCCGTCTACCTTGCAAATGCCGCCCTTTTCTGTAGTTTCGGGTTCAGGATTACTAGCTCTGTGAAGCCACTCATCATTTCCCTGGTCCTCCTGATAAAAGCAGCTTTGTTGTTCACAATAACTTTATTGTACGTGATAATTCTCTGCATGTGCTCAGACACTTGTGGACAGAGAATGTATCATTTCGTATCTTTCAACAGAGCTTGGGAGGCATCCAGTGCCAAGTTAATGAATACTGAGAGCAGCTAACATTCTTGCACTCTATGTAGTATGTTAAGTGGTTCCGCAGAGCCATCCCATTAAGTTCTCACCATAACCATTCGCATTATTAACAACACATCAGCATCGCCTCATTTCACTAATGAAGGGGGGAAACACCATACAGGTTAAACAACTCACACAAGGCCTACATTTAAAAGGCCGGCAGCATGACCCTACTAAAGGCCATGCCTTTAAAATCAGCACGTGGACATAAGCAAGACAGATGTACACAGAGAAGGACACACTTGGCCACAGGGGAAAAAAAATGAGTGAACACTAAGCAAGCCCCAGGCAGTCAAGCAACAGAAGGTTAAGACTGAAATGTAAAATCACTCTGAAAAGTTAGTTGGAAATAGCCCTACACTGTAATTTACTGACTCTCATAATATATGGAATGGCTTTGGTAAGAGACACTTCGCAAACTTTTTGGTTTATCGGCTTTAAACTTAGGCAGGGTTTTCTGAGTTCCTGTGCACACAGAAAAGCAGTCACAGGGTTCCCTATTTATAAAGTGACTTGAGGGAAAGCTAGGGTAAGCAAAATTAACATTTCCCAGTATCATTACAGAACTGTACAAAGTTAAAACAGACTGTGCTTTAGTGTTCCAAGCTTAGTGGAACTGAAAGCCTTCCTCCCTCACAGGCTGACTGTTCAAGGGAGCAGTTTGAAGCCCACATGCTGGACCTATAATGTCTATAATCAGTGGACTGACCCTTGCTCGCCGATTTCCAAGTCAAATTAGACTAATTAAAGTTTGTAGAATAAGCAGGGAGCACAAAGTCTAAGATGTATAGGAAAAATAAAATGTTCTAAGATAAAATGTTCCCCAGACACCTCGGCTCCAAAAAGCTGCTCTTTGTGTGTATATCCTCACATTGATAGACCTGCAGTGACATTTTACTACCAAGACTAACAAGCTTCTTGGACACATAAGCTCCTCCAATTGACTAAGTTGTTCAGTAAGTTGCTTTATTTCTGTGTATGAGAGTACAATTATTAATGCTCATTACACTGGACTGAGGAAAGTATCCTTAGAAATACATTCAAAGTGTACTATAAAAGCAAAAAATAAATAAATAAAAAGTTTCCTCTGTAAAACCAGTCTATACACTAACCTATTTTGGTAGCAAATGATTACAAATGCCTTATACACCAAATATTAACCTATGCGAATCGCATTTGTAACCCAGGCCAAAACAGTCATGTGTGCAAAGAGCTGCAAGGTTTCTTTTATGAGGTCAATCTGCACTTCATAAATTGTTTTAATCATTGTGTTCTTAACAATTTCATAATCAATGTACATGCAACTTCTGAAATTAATCTGGTACGGAAGTAAAAAAGCCATATACAGTTAACTGCTGACTTTCTAGAGTCTTCCTCCCAAATACATAACCTGTAGCCTGTTAGGACACAATGAGGAAAGATTAAAAGGTTAAATACCACATTCCTGATCCACGACAAATTTAAAATACCAGGACAAACCATGTGCTGGAAAATGGAATCATCTTCCCTACAAAAACGAACTCTCTTCTTCTTACGAGTCCCTTTCAAAGTTTACTTTTTAATGGTTTACCTCCTTCTTTTAAAAAAGCCACAGACTGTATTATGAGAGCTGGGAAACAGGCTTTCCTTACCTATCCGGTCAAAGGTTTTATCACATTTGGGGCACTGCAGTATTTTCCTGTTACTGTTCTGGATGATGACAGGAGCCAACCCTTCCAGGCCGCTTCCCGCAGAGTCTCCGGCCTCAGGTTCCTGTTCTGCGTCGTTATCTTTTCCACTCTGTTCCGTGTCAGAGTCTTCCTCTGTCGCCCCCTCCTCTAGGTCATCATCTTCAGGGTTGTATTCACTCCCAGGGTCCTCGGAATCGTTCCTGTCCGCCTTCTCCTTATCAAGGCTTTCCCGGTTCAGGCTGTCTGACCCGCCCCCACTCTCCTGCTCATCATCACTGGTGTCCTCAAACTTGACCACGGGGCACTTCCTACTCCTCTTTGACCTCCGTGCGGAAAAACTTCTCTCCAGCATTTTTAACCCATGTTTCTTCCCCAGGAACAGGGACCTGTGCGTTTTAGCTAAGTGGTTCTCTAAGGACTTTTTATAGCAGAAGTGTCTACTACAGAATTTGCACTGGTGGCTGCTGGATAGTCTCCCGGTGAACTCATTTAGTGTTCCTTCTGGAGATGACTTCTCGGTTAGCTCGGCCTGAAAAGCAGCAGCGTCTTCATTATTCAGCAGCTTCACCGCGTCTATAATGTCCAAAAATTTTGCGGCCTCCAGAACAAGGGGTATTTCGTACTTGTACACAAACAGCTCCGACGTGTAAAGGAACTCTAGCAAGTGCTGAAACACTGAGTGTGTTACGTGGTCCAGGGTGACTACATGAGTGCTCGGGTTTTTGCTCAAACACGCGTGGAAGTAGCTGCTACCGACGGCGACGACGACTTTGTGCGCACTGAACTCCTTCCCTTCCACTACGATGAGCAAATCGCAGAAAGACGGCTGCTTCTGCCTGTCATCGTTCAGGTACTTGAGCAGATTCTTATTATACTGCAAGGAACTCAAAAGCTTCCTCTGGCCCGGGGAGGGAGGAAGTTGCTGGTAACGCTGGAGAGCTTCTTCGGGGCTGGGTCTTTCTGCAGCCTGAGCGTAGGTCACTGGTCCGCACTGCAGAGCAGCATGTTCCTCTGTGGAGTCTTTGTGGTAGCCTAGGCGGATCCTCCCGTCGAAATGTGCAGCAACCTTTCTCCTCTTCTTCATCGCAGTATTGCAGTTCCTGGACAAGAAAACTTCATAAGTGACTGCCGAGGTCCACGAACAAAATAAAAATAAACACACTAGATTGTCTTCCACCACAGCTCCCGAAGGGGCGTGCCCCGCCGTCTCACCGTCTGCAAGACAGGGAGGAGTAGCTGCGTGAGAAACCCCTGCTCGGCAAAGCAACGCCAAACAAACAACCGAAGGGGCTGAACCAGCCTTTAACGTGCAGGGGATGGAACCCGCTCAGGTCTCCAAGTCCACGTTTACGCTCGCCCGCCCCGCCCCGCCCTGCAGCTAAGTAAGGTGCAAGAAGGAAGGGCTGGGATTTAGGGAGGGCAACCAACAAAAGAGAGAGAGAGCGAGCGAGCCGCGTCAGGTGAAGGCTGCACACAGCACAGCTCCCGGGGCCTGGTGCACGCACGAGTGGGGTGGAGAGAACGAGAGAGGGAGGTGGAGGGCGGCCCCGCCAAGGCTGCACCGTGCGGACGCCCCAGGGCTGCAGACCCCGCTCGCTCCGGGCGCCGGGACCCTGCCTGACAATGCGAGCGGCGCGGAGCGCGGCGGCCACGCAAGCCAAGTCTCCATGAGCGCGCGGGCCCCGGGACACAGACCTTGGGGGAACGCACGGGGCCGGGCCGGGCCGAGCCGAGCCGAGCGAAGCCGAGCGGAGCCGAGCGGCCCCCGCGCTCCGCACCGGAGACCCCGGACGGACGGGCGAGCAGCGCAGCCCGCGCAGGCCCGGCGCCCGCCCGCCCCGTCCCGTCCCGTCCCGTCCCTGCCGGCTGCCCGGGCGAGCGCACCCGCAGGCCCCTTACCGGGAAGCCAGCTCCGATCGCAGCCCGCCCGCTTCCGGGTGCGGCCCCCAACACCCACCTCTTCCACCTCGGCGGCGCTGCTTCCCGCCCGCCGATCGCGGAGTCGTCCCCGCCGCCGCCGCCGTCGCCCGCCCGCTCGCTCCGCCCGCCCGCCCTCTCGCTCCGCGCCCTGCGCCCCGCGCACGTCAGCCGCGCGCAGCCGCCCAGCCGCCAGGGCGCATGCGCGCGCCTCCTGCCTCGCGCGTGCGCCGTGGGCTCCTGCTGCTGCCTTGCTCGCTGCTGCTGCTTTGCTGCTGCTGCTGCTGCTGCTGCTTTGCTGCTGCTGCTTGCGGCCCTCTCGAGTTGGCTCAGCAAAAGCTGATATGCGCGAAGGGATAAAGCTGAGCTGCATGGAGGGAGAAAAAGAAACGAAGGAAGGTTGCTCCGATGGGGACTTAGGAGGAGCTGGCACGGTGACGACCCGGTGGGTGCGTTTCCAGCGAGCTTGTCACCGAAGAGCCACCGACCAGAAGCGTGCCGAGCCCTCCGTGTGCAAACGCGCCGAGTGCTGGCCGCGTGGAAGTAGAAGTGCACGGGGCAAACGTTCCTGTAGACATGGGGCTGAGAAAGGGGTCCGGGGATGAGGGAAGGTGTGTGTACACCAAGCCTGCAGGTGTGGCAGACCAAGAGGCCTTGAGCAAGACAGGCGACTAGTTGGCCAAGAGACCCTGTAGCCAAAACATCTGGATTATATAGGTGTCAGGGAGGCTGGAGGTAAAGAAGGGAAACTCGGGGGCTGGAGAGATTTAGGGTAGGGGCCGGGTTATGTCAATCTGGATAACTACCCGGTACTTGCAATGCTGAGAGCAGGCTCATTTGTCCTGAATTTGAGACCTAACAACAATTACTCCGTGGCCTAATTCCTGGAATTAAATATTATCAATCTTATCTCTCCATGCTATTGTATGTGTTTCTCTAGAAAACACTAACTCACATAAGTGTTTCTTCGTTGATTCAATTAAATGTCTGTGAAACAACTGTCTATGAGACAGGGTCTCCCTGTGTAGCTTTGAACCCTGTCCTGGAACTGGCTCTTGTAGACCAGGCTGGCCTGGAACTCACAAAGATCTGCCTGTCTCTGCCTCCCGAGTGCTGTGTTTAAAGGCATGAGCCACCAATGCCCAGCTAGAAACACGTGTTTCAATAATATGACAGATATAAAATGCCTAAGAATGAATCTTAATTATAGTCAACTTGTTTGCAAATTCTCTGCAATGGGGCTAAAAGAATTTTGGAGGCCAGTTATTAATCATTTTTTTTATTTTCTCCTTTTGTTGATATGTAGAATAATAAAAAACATTAAATAACTTAAAAAGCTTATGGGAATATTAAAATTCATGTTACACCATAAACTTCACAAAAGCCAGAAAGTGGTTAAATTTGGCTCAACAGACATTGTTTCTCTGATCCCCTCATACTCACAAAATCAACAACCAAATAATTGAAGACTGCTGTCCTAGACCTTCTGCACTGGATAAGGAAACGCTACAAACTGAATAATTTATGAACTATAAAATTTTGTTTCTCACCATAATCGTGGAATGAAAAATTAGTATCACAAAGTTGTCTTCAAATTACTATAGATGCAAAGACATGAACAAATGAGATTGCATATTGAACTCCTCCTCCCTGTTAGCATATAGATACTGAGATACATAGGGATATGTACATTAAATATATAAAGCACTTTGATCGTATCTCAGCTAGGCTTTCATACTCCCCCCTCCTTCCCTCCTCCCCTGGGGCAGGACAATAGTCTGAGAGAGTCTTTTATGTTCTCAGAGACTGGAACTTTGGCTGGACCTCTCAGCCAGAGTAAATAATACACCCTGAAGTTGCTTAACATTCACCCTCCTGATGTATACTCAAACTATTTGTTTCACTTCCTTTGAGAGGACAACATAAAAAACTAACCTTACTTGTCTTGGCTTCCCCACACAATCAGCTTTTACAACCTAAGTTAATGTATAGCCATAACCTTACCCCTCCATGCTCCTGACCCAAAACAGTACAGTACATCATTTGCTGAAAGCAGCAAATGCAGAAATCGAAGGCATCTCCCCACCAGAAAGGAGGGAGACAACCATTTATGGATATTGATTGATAAATAATTATGTTAGAAGGCCAGGCGTTGGTGGCGCACTCCTTTAATCTCAGCCGTTGGGAGGCAGAGGCATCAGATCTCTGTGAAGTCAAGGCCATCCCGGTCTACAGAGCGAGTTCCAGGACAGGCTCCAAAGTTACAGAGTAACCCTGTCTCAATAAATAAATAAATGAATAAGTAAATAAAGTTTGTTATCTGGGTTGTTTTAGATCTATGGGAACCAGTGACGTAATCCTTTGTAAAACTTGTTAAAGTTTTCTCTAAAGTCTCGTATTCCTTCCCCTACATAATGCTTCCTATGTCGTTCAATAAATAGCCAAGCCCTTTGTTAGGGGCAGGCACATAGCACATACACAAACACACAAGACAGACACAAAGGACAAACAGACTCACAAGATGGCCTTTAGGCAGACACGGAGTCAGACTCATGCAACAGACAGCAGATTGAACACACAGAGAACATGAGACAGAGAACTCAAATCTGGACTCAGTCTTGGTTAAATGACTCCAAGGGGAGGCGCCCTCAAATCTTTCCTCAATGTGACATTGATGCACCAGTTAATCAGTTATGAATATTATCCATGCATCCTTCGTCCTATTACTGTCCCATAAATCTGTTTGAAATCTAGAAACTGCACGTGAGAGAAGACATATGTGTCTGAGCCTGACTTAATTCCCACTTTCATCCTCTTCGCTGCAGATGACATGTTCCTTTATGTGTGATTGAAATCTAGTCATTGTGATGCTTGAGCTGGTGTTGGGAAAGGATGGATTTAAAAGGGGCATGAGACAGTGTTTGTTCATTATTAAGGTAGTGATTTCAGCAGGGAATGCACAGGGCTTCTCTCTTTGGAAAGGGTATCTACCCCTAGGAGGCGGAGCCTTGCTGGGTGAAGTTCAACACAGAGGGAGGGCTTGGAGGTTTACAGCCTGACTCCACTTGGTGTTCTCTCTGTTTCTGAGCATGTATGCAACACATTCAGCCACCTTCCTGGTCCTGCTGCCATGCCTTCCGGACCATGATGGACATTGTCCCTTTGAAACTATAATGCCAATATAACCCCTCTCTCCATTAAGCTGCTTATACCAGGCATTTTTACCATGACATCAGAAAAAATAAATTAATATGCCATACTGTATTGTTGCTTGTCTAGCTCACTTATCAGACAAGAATTGCTTACGGGAAGCTTATTAATCTCTTACACTGCTCTATTTGAATATCTAGTAGAATTCCTAGATGCTGGCAATCAGTAAATATATTAAACTAAATAACCTATTTGTACTTCTTTTATTATTAAAACCATCATGTAAAGGCTGGGCAAGGCAGCGAGACAGAAGAAGAGCCCCCAAGAGCAAGCTCAAGAATTAGAGAGCCACTTGTCCACACACTCGGAAGTCCCATAAAAACACTACGCTAACACTGTAATATATATGCAGAGGACCTGAAGCAGACCTGTGGGAATTCTGGTCTTCCTGCTTCACTGTGTATGAGTTCATAGGAGCCCTGTTCAGTTGTTTCCTGGTGCCCTCCATCCCTTCTGTTTCTTACATTTTTCTGCCTCCTCGTCCATGGAGTCCTCTGATCTCTGAGGTGTAGGATTTGATGAGGATACCCTATTTACAGCTGTGTGTTCAAAGGTGTCTCTGCGTAATGCCTAGCTGTGGGTCTTTATATCTGCTCCCATCTGTTGTGATGGATGAATAAGGCACTGATCTATGAGTATAAAAGAATATCATTAAGAGTCACTTTAATTTGATTCCATTGATCTACCTATCTATTTTTGTACCAGTACCAGGCTGTTTTCAGGACGATAGCTCTGTAGTAGAGCTTAAAGTCATGCATGGTGATGCCTCCTTAAGTTCTTTATTATACAGGGTTGTTTTGGCTATCCTGGGTCTTTTTGCCCCCCCCCCATATAAAGTTGAGTATTATCCGTTAAAGGTCAGTGAAGAATTGTGCTGGGGATTGCATTGAATCTGTAGATTGCTTTTGGCAAGATTGCCATTTTTACTATGTTGATCCTACCTATGCAAAAGCAAGGGAGATCTTTCCATTTT